TATCACTGGTTTCAGCCACTCACTGGCGTAGTCTACTTTGTGTTTCTTGTTCTTGGAGTTCTTCATGCCTCCTGGATCTGTGGTTTCTAGTTTCTCTCGAGGTTAGAAATTTTGCATTAGATCTTCAAATATTTGTTTCTGCCTCTCATCCCCTTCTCTCCTTTGGGCAGCCTAGTTGCGTGGATATGTAGGCACTTGAAGGAGTCCCGCTGTTTACCGATGTCCTCTGTGTATGTGATGTTCCTCTTATTTCTTGTTGGATCATTTCTGTTATGTTTTCAAGTGCGCCAGCCTAGTTTTCTACAGCGTATATCCTTGTTAACACAGCGTAGTATATTTTTCATCTAACATATTGCAGTTTCTACATCTAGAAGTTTGATGTAGGGCTCTTTTTATAGCGAGTGTCGGTGCCGAGTTGAGTTCTTGGACGCCTTGCTGGCGAGCGAGAATGGCTTGCTGGTGTCGGAGCCACCCCCACCCTCACTGAAGTTGGGCACAGGAGCCCCGAAGAGTGCAGTGCCTTTGTGCCCCGACAAATATTCCTGAGATTCGTTCTTGGTCAAGTTACTTTAGAAGGAGTTGGTCCTGTCTCATCGTGCTTTTAAGCTTCTTGAGATGGGGTCAGAGGCGCGCTTTATCAGTGGCGGCATCTCCCTGTTGCAGACCAAACGCTCGTGCTCTGAGTGCTGCCCTGCGAATGGGCCTGTTCTTCTCTGCTTCTCTCCGGGAAACTGGGTGGGAAACTGGGTGGACAGGAAACGGCTGGCCGCCCTCGGCCCTGTGCGTGGGCCCCAGGCACTGCTCCCCCGACCCTCTCTGGTGGTTTTTTAGGTGGACTTCGCTCCTTTGTCTGGTCAGCACTCAGATGAAGGCTGAAGGGAGGCGCTCTGGACAGTGTGGGGCTTCGCTGTGGGCAGCTGCCCTCTGTCCATTGCTCCCCTTGCAAACTCAAACGGTTTTTCCTCCTTCTCACTCCCCAACGGAGGGGTGGGGTGGTCCGTGGCCCTCTGCCTGTGTCTCTGTCCCCCGGGCCATAACCTAGAAACTTTCTCCAGACAGTCAGCTGGGCACTTGTGTGGCTCACGTCATTTCCTTCTCATCTCTCAGGACGTACTCTCTCTCCCCATCCCACTTCCAAGACCTTTGGTCTTATATTTTTCTATACACTTTGTCCAGTTTTTTAGTTATTCCAGGTGGGAGGGTAAATCTGGTCCCTTGTGCTTCATCTTGTCTGGAAGCGGAAGTGGTTTCCAGTGATTTTTTTTTAAAGATTTTATTTATTTATTTTTAGGGAGAGAAGGGAGGGAGACACAAAGAGAGAGAGAGAAAAATCAGTGTGCGGTTGCTGGGGGTCATGGCCTGCAACCCAGGCATGTGCCCTGACTGGGAATTGAACCTGCGATACTTTGGTTCGCAGCCCGCACTCAATCCACTGAGCTACGCCAGCCAGGGCTGGTTTCCAGTGATTTTTAATTGCTTGATGCCTCACTGGGTTGGGGTCTCTGCACTGAGTGTGTGCCACTCTCATCACTGCATCTGTGAAAGCATCTTGATTTATAAAGTAAAAAATTTTTTAAAAGGCAAAGGACCTGCTGTGAAAAGGCATTTACATGGTAAGAAAGTTTTACCATACAAAGGATTCGTACGAATCAATGAGAAAATGATAGAAATTATAATAAAAGAGGATACACAGGCAATGAGTCTATTTTTTAAGTGATTTTCCCTACTAGTAAACAAATAATTGTAGGCATTACGGTTTTGGGTGGAGGGCCGCCATTACTCCCCAGGTTTCCAGCGCCGGTGAGAGAGTGGGCAGGGGAGTTCCCACACGCTTTGGTGGGCGTGGGAACTGGCTGGGCCTTTCTCGTGGGCGATTTTTCAGCACACATGCAGATGCTTCGAAGGGAGCCCACCTTGACCCATCATTTTACTTTTAGTAACTCATTCCGAAAAACTTAAGATTGTAAGAAAGATTTAGGGACAAGCTGTTTCATACACCAGTGTTTATAGTGCAAAGAATACTGGAAATCACTTAAGGGGTCATATAGGGATGGGTGAGCGAAGTCAGTGCATCCACGATGTGGCTTTTTGTGTGTGTGTGATCGTAAAAACTGGTGTGGTTGAAAACTAAGTGACGTGCAAAGATTGTTATCACACGCGGAGTGAAAATACAGTTTACGAAACAGCACGTCCTACACGATCCCAACTGCGTGTTATGTTTTTAAAATTGATGCGTAGAAAAAGATTGCATTCTAAAATATAAATATTGATTATTTCCGAGTGATGAATTTATGTGTTTTAATTTCCTTGCTTGCACTTGTATTTTCAAGTTTCCTACCATAAATATGTATGGCGTTGCCTCTGTAATAAGAATAGGCTTATTTTTAGTTATCTCTCACGTTTGTTCACTGTTCGCGTTCTTATGCTACAGGCCAGGGACTGGCCAGCTCCTCCTGCCACAAAGGGCCAGGTGGTCCGTCCTTTAGGCCTGCGGGCCAGATGGTCTGGGCCGCAGCTGCTCCACTCTGCTGTTGTAGCAAGAGAGCCACCGTAGATGATATGGAAATGCAGGGGTGGGGCTGGGTTCCAACAGGACTCGATCTGCAAAAAGAGAAGGCAGGCCAGACTCGGCCTGTGGGGTGTCTCTTCCCAGGGCTGGGGCGTTTGGATTACATGACGCCCAAGCCTCCTTCTGTCCTTAGGTATTTGCAGACTTGCATTCCTTGCTTTTCTCTCCCAGCCTAATGAGGTAAAACCTCTAATCCACGTGTGGAATTCCATTAGCAAGATGACGTATTGATCAAGGGTTTCTTTCCAGCCCCTCGTTTTAAACATTCTCTTACAGCCATTGTTCCATTGTTATTTTGACTTTTTCTTTCCTCAGTCAGAAAAGAGTCTTAATGGACAACCCTTAGGGCCCTGAAGCGTTAGTTACGGAAAAATGAAATGCTTAGCAATGTGATTATCTGGTGCCTAAATATTTATTTCTGCAACTAAATACCTGCGCAATGGATAACGAGGACTTTTTCTTCTTCTAAATGAAACATCAAACACTAAACAAATTCTGTATTCCCGGGGAAGGGGCCGGTAAGTCTCGTGTAGGTCAATACAATGCTGATAGTCCCCAAAACTGCTTTCAGAGGTCCTCCCAACTGCGCCCCTGCCCCGCCGCCCAGTCGGGGCACCATCTGAGCAGAAGTCCCGGGGCCAGTTTTCAATGGATTCCCCTTGGTTCTCCCATCACGTCCTGAACTCAGTGGGGCACCCCATGCACCACTCCTGATTCTGGGTCCTCCGGCCACTGCAGGTGGCACATAGGACAAATGTTGGGTGGAGGGGGCCCCAGGGCCGGTCTGACCTGGGTGGTCACGGACTCCATTAAGAGCGTGGGTCACACCTGGCTGGTGTGGCTCAGTGGGTTGAGGGTCAGCCTGCGAACCAAAAGGCTGCTGGTTCGATTTCCGGTCTGGGCACATCCCTGGGTTGTGGGCAGGGTGCCCGGTTGGGGGAGGGGGAGAGGCAACCTACATCCATGTTTCTCTCCCTCTCTTTCTCCCTCTCTTCCCCACTCTCTTTAAAAAAATAAATAGCCCTTGCTAGTGTAGCTCAGTGCATTGAGTGCAGGTGGCAAACCAAAGAATCACTGGTTCGATTCCCAGTCAGGTCACATGCCCGGGTTGTGGGCCAGGTCCCCAGTAGGGGGCATGCAAGAGGCAACCACACATTGATGTTTCTCTCCTACTCTTTCTCCTTCCTTCCCCTTTCTCTAAAAATAAATAAATAAAACCTTTTAAAAAATAAATAAATAAAATCTTTTTTAAAAAAGCGTGGGTTAGACTAGTATAAGGACACTATCTATTGTAAAAGGTTTTGTGGTTGTTTAATAGCCTCTTTTTCAAACTTTTTAAATGTAAGCATAGTTGGCGTACAATATTATATTAGTCTCCAGGGTACAATATGGTGATTTGACGTTTGCATACCGCACAGTGTGATTAGTGCACTCAGTCCAGCAATCGTCTGCCACCCACCGTGCACGCATCACAATAGTAACTATATTCTCCTTCACCTTTTCATCCCCTCCCCCCTCCTCCCCTCTGGCCACCGTCAATTTCATCTCTATTTCTATGAGTCTGGGTTTTGTTTGTTTTTAATTCCACATACAACCAAAACCATACGGTGTTTGTCTTTCTCCATCTGAGTTATTTCACTCAGCGTCACCCCCTGTGGGTCCATCCGTGTCGTCACAACGGGCAAGATTCCATTTGTACACGACCGACTGACATTCCGTTGTGCACAAGTACCGCATCTCCATCCGCTCATCTGCAAGCGGACACCCAGGCTGCTTCCATGTCTGGGCTGTTGTAAATAATGCTGCAGTGAGCACAGGGCTACATAGATGTCTTTTCAAATTAGTGTTTTTGTTTTCGTTGGATAAATACCCAGAAGCGGGAGTGCTGGGTCGTATGGGGCAGCCATTATGAAAAACAGCACAGAGAGTCATCGAAAACCCAAAGGTAGAACCTCCAGGCCGTAGAATTAGAATGCACCACGAGAGCCCATGGGCCCAGGAGACTCTGCCGGGGACGTCCCCGTGACTCAGGCAGGTTCAGCTGAGCTCGTGGCCGTGGACGCTACCACTCTCTCCCCTTCCCACCACTGCCCCCACCCCCCGGCCGCGAGGCTCAGCTGCAGAGCTCTCCCGCCTGGCCAGCCCTCCACAAAGCACCTGGTGCTTCTGCGTGCGCCTCCTACCATGCAGATTCCACTCCTGCAACCGTGAACGATGCTGTCATTCCAGTAGCAGAGGACTGGACCCACTGGAGACACGCTGCCACCCAGAGCCCCCCTCCCCTCCCAGGGCACACTCAGGCAGCTGAGCCCTTGGGACCCGGTGCCAGTGTGACTGTGGTTGGATGCAGCCCAGGGTTCTCGCTCGTGTCGTGTGTTCGAGGTAGACCGCTCATTTCACAGCTGTGGATTTCCCCCTTCTGTCTCCCCAGAAATCGCAGGCACGCCGGTGTCTGAAATCGCCGGGCCCTTCTCAACAGACGACATAGCCAGCAACTGCGTCCCCGCCCTGCCTTTGAACGAGCCCATTCTGTGGATCGTCTCCTACACCCTCATGAGTGTGTGCGGGGTCATCCTCCTTGTCTTAATCGTCCTGCTGCTCGTCCCGGTCCGATGCCAGCTGAGCGCCCGCCACCCCGAGGCTGTCAACGACGAGTCCTCTCTGGTCCGGCACCGCTGGAAATGAAGGACAGAGCCTGAGCTCGGGCAACCTTGACCCCGGCTGTGAAGACAATGACATTGCAAGTGCGGCGGGCCAGGGGTTGCCGGGCCAGGTTTCTTCCTCTGTCCATTAGTCTTAAACCTCTGTCCTGCTCCCAGATGCCTTCCAGAATTCACTGTATTTTGAGTCTTGATTTCTTAACTTCCTTCTTCCAAGAAAAAAATGACAATAAAAAAAAAAACACCTCATTCTAAACCAAAACAGAGTGAACTGGGCTTCAGACTTTCTGCGACTGGTATACCAAACCGTCTCGATGTGCCTCCGGATAGAAAGCCAGCCGTGGCTCGCGCTCCGCGCTCCGGTCTCTGGAGAAACGAGTTGCCTAGCGCCCGCCGCTCTCCTCGGCGCACGGCCACCTTTCTGTATGAATTGCACTTAATGGTATTTTGCACCAGGTGTCAACCAGGGTCCAAACAGTCCAAGAAGGCTCCCCCTGGGACTGCGGGAGCGGCAGCCCGGGGCCTGGCGGCAGAGCGGCCTGCGCCTTCTGAGTCGGAAACAGCAGCAGGCCCCTTTTCTGGGTCTTTCTGTGCCCTGAACGGAGATCCTCGCCCAGTGGTCCTCACCAGCCTCTTCTGAAGACGGAACACCTTTGCCCGCTGCAGCGGGGTGAGAAGGAAGCCCACCCTCTTGTACTCGATGCTTCTGGAGTATTGTTGGTATACAAGTTTTTAAAAACTACCTCTGTTGAGACTCTGCCCAGGGTCCTCGCCCAGGGGAGGGTGCAGGGGGCCAGTTCCAGCCGCCGCCCACTCCTGAAAGAGTCCTCCTTCCACCCAGCCCAGCCCCACGAAAGTGGTGCTGAGCGGCGTGGGCATCGAGGACTTCCGTCACCAAGCTGGTCTTTAGCGCAAATGCGTATCTTACTCAAAATCAGTAAACAGCGCTTCGATGAGAAACGCCAATTCTGTGTCACTAGCTTAGTTGTTTCTCCTTCCAAAGCTGCTTTGGTTATTACCCTTTAGAGAAACGGAGAAAGGGCTAAATGGCCGTGCGCCTGGCGGGCTCTCAGGGGAAGGAAGAGTCTGAAGGACTCGGAGGGACCGTCTCGTTATTCCCGTGCTTTGAAACCGCGTGTCTGCATTTGCAGAACCACCCAGGCTCGCGCACACCCACGAGAATCAGCTTCAACAGCTCGGCGGAGCCGGTGGCCCTGGCCCGCTCACTCCCTCCCTTTGGTGGGCTCGTCCTGGGTGCCCCGTTGGGTGCGCAGCAGTGTCCTGACTTGGGGAAATCTTCTCTCGCTGTTATTTGAGGCCTTTGCCAAAGACAAGCAGAAACCTGTAACTCGATACAATTCGCCTTATATGGTCCGATGTAATTAGGAGAAGGGTTCAAAGCCAGCACCCTCCTCTCTTGTCCGTGTGCCAAGTTCAGTGTTCACTTTGCTTTGCTGTTGCGAGGAGTTGCGTCTGTAATAAAATTCCACTGGAAGGGCTAACTGTGGAGTGTCTCCTCCGGCTGGAGTGTCATTTGTGTTCACCTGGGGCACCATGTGGATGTCTCAGCCCTCTGCTTCGCTCACGGGACCCCAGGGCCACCTCCATCGTCAGAAATAGATGACAGGGGCAGAGACGTGAGGTCACTTACACACGTCCTGGTGTTCCCGCAGACTCTCCAGCCCTCCCAGCCCCCTGCGGAGAAGAGCATGAATTCTCTGTGTTACCCACCGTTAGTTCACGCCTGGCGGGAGGAAAGCAGCCCCTGGCGGGATGGGCTGGTGGGACAAAATTTACCAGATGCTCCTCGTCACGGCCCGTCTTGGCTGGTGGAGAGGTAATCATCTGAAATCTATTCCAGAGTTAGAAATCTCTGGAATTGTAATTCTCTTCTTGCCTTATTGGCGTTTTCCCTGGCTGCTGTTGTGTGGGCCACTTTGCAGAGAAGTGAAGGCCGCCCCCATAGACGGGGCCTTTCCCCTGGCTGTGAGAAAACTCTGGGCCCCTGAAATTAAAAAAAAAAGGGAAATTCTAGGTGTGGGCTGGTTAGTTTCTCTTCTCTGTTCTTCATGCAGGTGTCCTGTGTTTGTTTTCCTTGTTGGGTTTCTAAGCCCAGAATATTCTGCCGCAGCCAGTCAGCTGACCCCACGGTACATGATAATAGCAAGTTAGATTTCAAGCGAGGGTGTTTGAATGGCGCTTGCTATAATTCTTTGTATTTTGTGTCGGGTTTCTCTACCTTTTCATCTCTGGTGTCACTGAATGTGACATTTTAATGGGAATGCTTAAATTACAAAAGTATAATTTAGCAGCAAGAATGAAATAGACAATTAAATACGGGACCATTTCCCTGGCATGCCTTGCTGCTGATAATTGGACTTTGAGTCAAAACGCTGGTAGAGACTCCCACCTCCTAGAGTTATGTAAAGGGAGACTTAGTTGTGGGGTGGGGGCGCGGCGACCTTCAAGGAGGCTGGTGCAGTCACCAGGAAAGGGAGCAGTGGCAGCCATTGGAGGGTGTCATCCTAGAAGACGGCGGTTCTTTCCTGAAAACGGAGACCTAGTATTAGGTTGCTGTCAAACCCTGTCGGCTCTCTGACAGAGAAGAGAAGCTCCTATATGAGCATGCATAAGCGATACTTTTTTTTAACCTGGTGATGCTTTATAGTCCTGATAAGGTATTGGGAAACCAAAATGAAATGCTGTCTTCAGCATCTGAAACTGTTTATGGAAAAGAACAAGAAGCGGGATGGGCAGTGAGTGGGTTTCTCCACCGCCCCCCCCGCCCCCGCCCCTTGGAAATTTAAAAGCACCACCAAGTGATAGATCGGGTGGGCCATCTGCTATTTCCAAAGCACGATTTTGTAGTTCTGCACCCAAAACAAGTAGGCGGCGTAGGACAGTGGAGGAGGTCTTCTGAACCCAGTCCAGGCCCTGCCGTGCGGAAGGATTTGCCCAGATGCATCACAACGCGCAGGGGCTCGGTGGGAGGTAACTCGGGGGCAGATCACTGTTGGGAACGGTGAAAGTAGTTCCCAGCTGCACCGTTCGCTCCGCCGACCTTTGGCTCAGAGACTCTGCAAAGCAGTTGTGGTGGGGAGAGGGCAGTGTCTCATGGAAGAGGCGAGGCAGGGGCGTTTCATTATTCAACAGGTTCCCTGAGAGAATGAAAATCGGTTCATTTCCCCTTTCGGGGTCCCCCACGTGGCGGAGCTGCCGAGCGTGGTTCCGCTCTAAGTTCTGGCCTCGTGCCACCCGATGTCACGGGGAATAAACGACTGCCCCGGAGCCTGCTTCGTCAGCGACAATAATCTAGTTTCACAGGCGTCGTCCTGATGAGTGGAAACCGGATCGCCACGCGGGCCCCCAGCTGTGTTTTCCCTCGCACAGACTTGTTAGAGCTGATTACGGAACTGTTCGGAATTAAAACTCACCACTAAAAGGTTTTGGTTTTGTTTTTTTTTTTTCATTATTTTAGGGAAAACAACTAAACGCCATAAAAATGTAGAAACATGGTTTTGCCGAGAAAGGTACTAGATACGTAGTGCCAAGAAAACCGCACACAACTGGAAGCTGTTGTGTACATTTCTGGTGAGTCCTGAGAAATTCACATGTGAACTGACACTGTATACCCATTAATCAGCACACAGGAAAAATCCACTGTGACAGCAGGGAAGGAAAATTTTAAAATAAATAAAACTATGTAACAAAGCAAGCAGAAATTGCTCTTTCGGCAAAGTAGCTTTAATTCCAGGAATCTACAATATTTCTTTTACCTCTAAAGTTGTGGAATCCACTGGGGATGGGAATGATTTTACACAGTCGCAAACCCCAAACTTCAGGAATGTTCCAGCTGGGGTCCTGAGCCCAACGGCAGCCTGGACGGCATTGCCCCGGCCAGGTGCCAGGCATCACCCAAAGGTCCTCGCCGTCCTGGAGCCCACCTGGTGCTGTTCAGGGCCCGTGCCCCTCAGTGGGAGTCCCGAGGGACTCTAATGAGCGAGAACCGTGCTTCAGCCTCGAGCGAGCGCCCGGGCGGGTGAGACTGTCCTCCTGGGCAGGGAAGTCAGCCTGAGGCCCAAGTCGCCCGTGTGTGTGCAGTGAGAGCCAAGCCAGGCCTGGTGGTGGCCTCGGTGTGTCTGCCAAACCCCTCGTCCCCTTAGTGACCAGCTTTCCATACAGGGCGGGGCAAAGGTAGGTTGACCACTGTTCCTATGGAAAATAAGCCGGTAATTCATAACTAACAATCCAAGAATAAACTCCTGTGTTTTGTGTACTCCCAGCTGGAAGCCTACTTTTGCCCCACCCTGTGTGAGTGTCTCGAGGGCATCCAGTTTACCAGTATTTTGTTGCCTACCTCTGAGCTTTCTCAGGGGTGCTTATCATCAGACATGACATGCAGACGGCCAGTGTTTCTGCACTGCCTCGTACTGTGTGATTTCACTGCACGCTCCTTCCTAACGAGGGCCAGTTAGACACGGGGTGGGCCAAGAGGCCCAGGAAGGAAGGCATCCCAGGTAAAGCAAGCCTCCCGGGGCTCGTTGGGGCACCACTGCCGAAGCCGTGACTCTGCAGGTGTCCCGTGAGCATCTCAGGATGCAGGAGAGAGGGTGATACAGTATCTGCCTGGCCCCTAGATACCTGCTGGACCGAGTTGCCCGTGCCTGTGAAGCCGTGATGGGAAGTGGGTGGCTCCCTTTGCAGGTGGAAAACTATTTGTATCAGACCAACTGGGTGGAGTCTGAATTATAGTTTCCACACAGAGGCACCCCCACACACATCAATCTGAGTAGCATATTGGGCCAAAGTCAATGTCAATAGTTCTATAGTTACGAATCACCCAGATTTATAAAGTGGATTTTGAGTCTGCTGAGCCCAGCTGCCCTGGTATTGATCACTAAAAGGCAGCTTGCAACCTTGTTCACCTTTGCAACCTGTTGCCTCCTCACCGCTTGTGTTTTCCCACAGAATCTCCTCCATTTCGGTTGGAATTTTTGTATTTTTATTCACGATGGAGGCACAGATCAGAATATCACGAGAAGCCCAGTGACCCCATCAGGCAGCAGGCCTTACTTTTTTTTCCCAGTTGCGCACTGTTTGTGCAGGTGGTTGAAAGTTTGCCAATATCACCACGGTTTCAGCTTGCTTCCTTTCACCTGTTGGAGTAGAATTTCACACGAGCTTCACGTTTTCAAGTGAACGCTTCTGAAAGGAAGTTAAGAAAACATGAAAGGATGATCTTCTTGCAATAAAGAAAAAACGATGCAAGTCAATGAAGGATCTATTATTCTACAATGAAAACCACACAGAATAAACCTTTAATTCCTTATACAGCGCCCTGTTCTTTGTTGCTGGTGGTGTCAACCGGGGATTTTTTTCCCACTTTCCTAACTGTAGACGCAATGTTCTATCAGGGAGGTTGGAAGTTCTTAGTGTTGGAAAGAGAATGCATGAGACTCGTCATGTAATAAAAACTGATTTCTTTTGTAATGTAAAATAATGCATTTCCTACTATTTCTGTTCATTGCACAGTTAAAGATACTTAAAGTTTAAAATCGCTGTGTTCGGTCATTCAAAGAAGTCACTCATTTGCTTCTAAAGCTGGGGAACTTTGCTCCTGCGTGAACAGTGTTTCTGAGCGGGCGGAAGAGGGGCAAACTTCGTAGTCTAAAGCGGACGCTAGAGGGCGCGCTTTGCAAAATGAGTGTATCTCAGATGAATAGCCTTTGATGCACAATCCTTAAGTGTAACTTAGAAATGCTCGATTATTTTATACCTCTCTTTTGGAATTTTCCTCTATTTTTAGTACACCGTGTTGATTTAAAGTTGCGCTAGGACCCAGAGTTGGAGTGAAGAGTTATTTGCTCCATCTCAGAAGAGGCTCTGCAGACGCTGTCCAAATAGCGCACGTCAAAGCTGGAGTTTTCTAAAATCGTATTTTTGTACTTACAGGTCCCACCCATGTAAGAGTAAAAAAAAAAAAAAAGACTTTGGCTTGTTTGAATAAATAATATGCACAATTTGTTGGGTTTGGAGTTTTTTCAATACTTAGTTCAAGTCACGCTTCTGGAGAGACAAGGGTGACGCGCTGTGCGTGGTCCAGTTCTTTGTGGAGGTTCCTGGGAAGGATCAGATACAAACGTGAATGGAGGCGGGGCCCAAGCTCCATCACTCGGATGTGAAGCATACTGAAAATGCGAGAAACATAAAGTGCACTAGAGCGTGAGACCCATCCTGGGAGTGGAGAGAAACCCGTGTAGACGGGAGCCCCAGGAAACACATGTAAGTGGCGCCAAGGATGGGACAGGGCCTTCAGCCTGGCGCTGGAGACGGAATATGGCCGACGGGGAACTCCTGTGCCCCTCCCACACACACAAATGACGCCCCCGCCCCCCCGCTGCCCCCGCAAGGAGACGGTGTTCTCCAAACTCTACAGACAAGAAACCAGTTCCTAGTCGCACACCCAAGAGAACAGCCAGAAAAGTGTTTACCTTGGGAGGACACCCAGCTCCCTCCACCTCCGAAAGCAAATCTCATTCTCTGCATCACTCACGAGGTGCTGACTCACGCCTTGCAGAAACGGAAGGATCCCGCTGAGTGAGTGGGTCAGTCTCCAGAGGGGTATGCATCCAGTCCGGTGAGTCAGAAATGATGAATGGGGACGGACTTCACCCACCAGCCGTGATCTAGTTGCTACACGTACCCTTGAAAAATACATTTCTTTTGATGTCTGGGCACTGTTTGATAGATTTTTTTTTTAAAAAAAGGGAATTTCAAAACATTAGGAAGTGAAGCAACAGTTACTTGAAAAACAGAATAGGATATGTGCTTTCTAATAACACAGGAGATCATTGGATTTCCACTTTCACTGGTTTTCTGTGCTTGTTACATTTTGCCACCTGTAAACTCGGTGTGGTCCTGCAAATGCGATTTTGCATGCTTGTCGCTAGGTGGTGCTGTTGTGGGACTTTGGGGCGTGAGTTTGTGCTGCCTTTTTTTCCACCCCCACTCTGTGTGGCTCTCATAGGCAGCTTTCATCAAGTGTGTGTATTCCATTAAACTACATCCCCGCAAGTAGTCAAAGCTGTCCAGCTGTGTCCATTCTTCTCTAAAATACAATCTGCAAATTATGCTGGCCAGCTGGCCAGTAAACCTGGGAGGTAATCCACAACACGCCTCTCCAGCCCTGGCCTGTCCATCTGGCCGGCTGTCCCACGGGCAATAAAACTGAGTCACAGAGGTGCCATAAGGTCTCCAGGGTCTCCCTGCTGGTGGCAGAGTCCAGAGTCAGAAAACCAGCTTGTCTGATTACCGGACCCCTGGCCTCAACCATCACGCTGCTGTCTTCATCAGGTTAAACATTGGAAATTGAAAGGAAAATTATTTTTTTTTGAAGTAAGGATGGTGTATGCTATGGTCAAAATGCTACAAGGGAAAATATTGCAGAATGTATTTGCAACAAATATATCAGGGCAGAAGCTAACATTTTCTGAACAGCAAATTCTAGACATACATATGAGATATATTACAACATTGTAGCCTCAGAACAGCCCTAACAGGTACACACTTATTACTAAAAAACATTTCTTTCGCCCTGAGTGTTCACCATTATATTTTCGCCAGTTTCCCCAATTGCCTCTGGATCGCATTGTTTTCTTCTAGTAGTTTCCTCAAAAGGGACTTTCAGAAATAAAAGTTGCTGAGTCCTTGCTTGTTGAGGCTATTTGCAGCCTGTATACACACAGAAGATGCTGGCTGGGTGGAGAGGCCTTGTTCGCTTCCTGCAACTATGATATCACCGCCTTCTGGTTGGAACAGTGTACTGGGAGAAGCTGAGGGAGCCCTCACATCGCCTCTCTCATTTTAAGTGACTTCACTTTTTTCTTTTCTAGCTGCCCCAAAGGTACTTTTCTTGTCTTGAAAGCCCCATAAGTCTAGGCAAGAACACATGCTAACCATTTGGGTTCAAACTTCCTGTGCCCGGGAATTTGAATATTTCTTCTGGTCCCCCTGCTTTTCACGTGGACTTGAGTTCCTCAGGTGTTAGATGTGCTTTGCTCATCTTCTATAGCTGTCGTGCTGCAGTATTTTAAAAATATTTACTTTCATGAAGTTTTTTACTTGCCGCATTTCTAGCTCCTGTGTTCCTTGCTGTGTCTTCGTGAGCATCTCTTTCCCCTAGGGCTTCTTCTCATGAGTTTGTCTTTTCCCTTTTCGTTGAGTTTGGGCCGCCCGACTCTCACCTCCTGTTGTTTTGCTTTCTTCCTCCAATTTTTGCATTTCTCCATCATGGGCCTCTGTTGAAAACATTCATCCATGCCCTGGCTGGTGTAGCTCAGTGGATTGAGCGCAGGCTGTGAACCAAAGCATCGCAGGTTCGATTCCCAGTCAGAGCACATGCCTGGGTTGCAGGCCATGGCCCCCAGCAACCGCACATTGATGTTTCTCTCTCTCTCCCTCTCCCTCCCTTCCCTCTCTAAAAATAAATAAATAAATTCTTTTAAAAAATGTGTTTAAAAAAAAAGAACACATTCATCCAGTAAGTTGTGGCTGCTGCGGCGGCTGCTGAATTTGTGACGAAATGGGATGAAATGCATGCCTTTGGTTTGCTCTCTGAAAACCTTTTTTCCTGGTGAATGTTCTTCCCTGGGTGGTATAAGTTTTGCTCCTCTCCCTCACCCTTTGTGATAACGCTCGCTCACCAGTGCTGCCCAAGATGCTTTTGTACATCTGTCACTCACACGCTAGCCGTTGGCAGCAGGCTCCGGTGGGCAGAGACAGAGGACCGGGTTTCACAGCAGGGGCGCTCACTCGGCGGCCGAACGAGAGGACTGTCTTGTGGAAGCTGGAACGTGCGTGTGCACGCGCGCGTGTGTGGGTGCATTGTTGCACAGGCCCCACTCTTCTGAGTGTCTGAGAGGCACTGCCGGCCCGTTCCCTCTTCTTTCCCCTTCCCACGGCTGAAAAGAAGGAGAGAGGCTTTCACACTGCGGGGCAAGCCCCTCAACCGGGAAACTGGATGTTTTCTGGCGCCTCCCGGTGTTGGCCGCTGCTGGACCCAGTGGCCGCCTGTGGCTCTCTGCCTCCCGGCCCCCGCTCACCTCCGCTGCTTTTGGAAGTGTCTGCTTGTCCTTCGCAGCCTGCACTGACCTCTCCCTCCTAGTTTCACTAAAACCATCGGGTTCAAGGCCTGTGGTTTTAGTTGTTTTGCATTTTTCTTGTTTCTCTTCCACAGTTTCCAAGAAGCGAAGGGGGAAGTTGCTGACTTCCAGGTTCATACCGGAAGTTTGGCCTTTGGCTTTTATTGTAGTTCAACATCATTGTAATGGGGTTTTTTTTAACCACAGAAATGTTTTTAGTTCGGTTATTGAAATATTTTTAAGCTTTTTCATTGAAACTTCAAAAGGTATTAAACATATTCTTTGCTGTGCTCTTCGGGTGGAAAAATAAGTGATTTACCCGTTCAACAGGGAAGAAACAGGCATCATCACACGTTTGTAGGGGGAAGCCCTCGGCAACCATGAGAAACACATTCTAGTAATTCGAAGATCAGGAGGCGATTATATTAAGGGGGAAAATAATAGAAACTGGGCAGTGAGGTCAACAATTTTAAATGCACACCCACACGTACACACACACTCCTGCAGAGACGCACACACAGAGAAAGGAGCCGAGGCCTGGAGAATAAGGCTCCCAAAAGCTGAAGTGGTTATCTCTAATGGAATTACAGGTGGTTCTAAATATTCCTCTAAAAATGCTGTATTTTGCCCTGGCTGGCGTAGCTCAGTGGATTGAGCGCGGACTGCGAACCAAAGTGTCGCAGGTTCGATTCCCAGTCAGGGCACATGCCTGGGTTGCAGGCCACGGCCCCTAGCAACCGCACATTGATGTTTCTCTCTCTCTCTCCCTCCCTTCCCTCTCTAAAAATAAAAAATAATAATAAAATCTTTTTTAAAAATGCTGTATGCACAGTGGGGCAAAAAATGCACAGTTTACAGTTGTGAGCATGCAAAACACAGGGTTTATTCTTGTGTTATTGTAGTATTATTTTTTAATTATTGTATTATTTTCCACACGGAAAACTGTAAACCTACTTTTCCCACCCTGTATACCATACTTTTTTTAGAAGATTTTATTTATTTATTTGCAGAGAGAAGGGAAGGGGGAGAGAAAGAGAGGGGGAGAAAGACCGATGTGTGGGAGAAACATCAGTTGCCCCTCACAAGTCCCCAGATGGGGGCCCAACCTGCAACCCAGGCATGTGCCCTGCCCGGGAATCGAACCGGTGACCTTTCAGATTGCAGGCCCACGCTCAGTGCGCTAAGCCACAGCAGCCAGGCCTACATGTTGTACTTTTATAACCAGAAAACTCAATGCAGAATAAATTTTTAAACTTTGCTCATGGTCTCCTTTCTGTTCCTCAAACCTCATCCTGCTCAGTTTTCATCCTGTCGCGGTGGGCGGCCCCCCACCCACCCGCAGCCCCGGCAGGAAACCGAGTCCCTCTTGGCTCTTCCTCTCTCCGCTGCCCACACTAACCTGCTCGTCCATCCTTTCGGTTCTTCCTCCAAAAGGGCTCAAGTCTCACCCCGCTCCCCAGGCCCGTTCCAAAGATCTGTCTTCCAGACTCTCGAGTTGGTTTCCTTATTTGTCTCCGAGCCCTTCCCCCCTCCCACCTGGAGCCCCCCTTCTCTGCGGTCTGTACCACTCCCAGCCTGCTGCATTCCAGCACCGCGCCTGGGGCCGGGAACGGCCAACCAGTTCTGCGATAGCTGGCGCACAACGGCCGCCAGACAACCACACCGACAAAGCTGGTTGTGCCAGCGGCTGCGGGCTGGCTGGATCTGTCCTGCTCAGTAGATGTGGCTTAAGTGGGGGAAGCAAGGGGGTGGAGGGGGTGGGAGTGACTCCGTCCAGCACCTGACACCCAGTTCCAGACTGGACCAGGTCTAAGCCACGCGGAATGAATGATGACTTGTTCTCCCCTGGTCCCTGCACTGGACCATCCAAACAGCCTCTTAGTGTTTTGATCGACTGAATGGCATGTAAGCACAGGTGCTGTCTCCCTGCTCTCCCTGTTTCCGTGGGCCCTTCTGACAACTTCATTGGAGGGCTGGGGCAGACGGGATGTCCGGGTGATGGGACACGGGGGGTCTGTAGGGTCAGTGGCCTGGATTCTTTTCCTGGGATGACGTCCAAACTCACATGCCACTCAGCAGTGGGCAGGATAGGTCACCTGACTTGCTCATATGATCTGTTAAATGCTTGCTCATTGTAGAGGCATCTGCTGGTGGGTAAGATTATTTTTTCTGTGCATCCTGTATTTTGTGCTTCGTTTCCTTGGCCCCCTTTCCACCGGGGGTTTCAGGGCTGCTCTGCCTAAGAGCATTAATGCTTTCACGGGCAAGCCGAACTCTGCGTGTGTGAGGGGGAAACATTCACACACACGGCCCAGAATGCCCGACGCTGAAAGGAGAGGCGAGAGTCTCTGAATCAATATCTTGTTTATTGATTGCATTTCACTCGCTTGAAACAGAAGTCTCTGCAACAGAGGAAGAAACACATTCAATGAAACACTGACCTGGGTGAGTGTGGAAGGAAACCTACATCTCGGCCTTGCTGGCCTCACTCAGGAGAAAGGGAGATGGGCCTAGAGCAGTGGTTCGCTCTCTCTCCCTCTCCCTCCCCTCCCCCCACTCCCTCTTAGAGTTCCCTAGGTCTCGCTTTTCCAGGTTTAGCACCTGGAATTCTGCATAAATCACACCAGGACCTTGTTAAAACACACACCCTGCGTAGATCTGGGGCAGGGCCTTTCTGACAAACGGGGATGCTGGTCCAGGGACCCCACTAAGTAGCAAGGTCTAGGTTACCTCTCGTCCCCCATCCCACCTTCAGTGAACGCTCTACATGATTACTGCCTCTCATCATCCTTCAGACCCCAGCCTGGCCTCACCTCTTCCTGGAAGCCCTCCAGGCTCTCATCCTGAGATAGGATGAAAATGGAGCACCCCCCGCGATGGTGTCAATGAGCTCGGCCTGTATCCCCTGCCTGCTGGGAAGCAGGCAGTGTTGTCACCCTTGTTCCACCAGAATCCTGTGCTACGTCTGCCTTGGGGACAGTGATACTACAGTCCTCCCCCTGTATCTGCAGGGGCTTAGTTCCAGGACCCGCCTGGGACGCTGAAATCCAGAGCAGTCCCTTGCAGTGGATGGACACAGTATTTGCGCACAGCCCAACCACCCCTGTACTCCTTTAAATCTTCTCCGGGTCACTTACAGTACCTGCGGCAATGTCAATGCTACATAAATAGTTGTCACACTGTATTGTTTAAGGATCAACTTCCTGGAAGTTTTTCTGGAATATTTTTGATCCGCAGACACAGAGAGCTGTCTTAGCTCTTTCATGCACCAGTGAACGAGTGGTTGGTTGCTTGCCTATATTTGTCTAAGCGTTTTACAACGTCATCAAGACATTTTCAAGCCCCAGACAGCAGAAAAACTCCAGGTGTGCGTGTGTCGAGATCCGTTTGGGTACCACACACCTTGGGTTCATCCGTGGAGAGCTGCGATGATTCTCCCCAAATCCACCCACGCCGCTCAGCCCCTTCCCAGCTCCCCCCACCCACCCACCCGCGTGCCCAGCAGGGATCAGCGCCGTGAATGTGCCTCACCCTCCGGGGGGAAGAAGGCCATGGCCTGGGTTATATGTGTAGGGGCCTGGGGCATTCTTCACGATTCCCGACAGTCAGCCTTGCTTCCACTACCAAAAAGACCTTTGCTTCCCGTGCCCTTTGAAACTAACTTGAGCTCTGAGTCGCTCTGACCTTGTCCAGCCTCCATGGTCAGACAAGGGAGGGCCCTCGGACGTCCCTTGCCCATAAGAAGGGGACACTAACACCCACCGTACCCGGACAGCTCGGGTTTGCATGACGGAGGTTATGCCTTTGCCTACTTTTCTGCCCAGCACTTAGCCTGTGGCCTGACAGACACTAGTTCTCAATGGATCCTCTTTTGTTGAATATATGAGTGAATGAATGAATGAGTGAATAAATGAATGAGTGAATGAATGAATGAGTGAATGAATGAATGAGTGAATACATGCATGCATGAACTTGCAAAGCCAAACACTTACAAGGGAAATTGGAGGTATTAATACAAGCGGGGTTGTATTTTTTTATGTCTTTGAAAGAGAAGAGATGAATCCAACCAACAGAACTATCCCCCAGGAAGAGCAAAACTCTCTGTCCTCGGCTGGGGAAACTTCAAGTGCCTTCGTGAAAGGCAAGGAAATATACAGTGAACCGGTCGACAGAAAGGAGCGGGGAAAGGAAGGCGTGGCTCCTTCGGTTGTCGTTAAAATAACCCTGGTGCTTATCTACGTCCTGGCTCACTCGTGTGTCCAGTCACTGAACAAATGTTTGGAGAGTGCTGACCATTCCCAGGTCCTGCCCTGGGCCCTGGTGATTTGGCTGTCACCCCAAGCCCCCCACTCCGTCCACACAGAACCTGTAGTCTATCGGAGAGGGGTTTGCACCCTAGACAGTAAGTGAACAAGAAAAATGTCTGGAATGATGCCAGGTAGTGCTCCATGCTAGGGAGGAGGGGCAAAGGGCAGGGGACCAAGGGGGAGTGATGGGGAGAGTGATGGAGTGTCTCTGTGAATATCCCCATGGCCCATTCCCACAGCACCTCCCACGCAGGCTGCCCTTCGGTGGCCTCCCCCACCCTTCAGAGTCAACCTTGAGATCTGTGTTCCAGCCAGCTGCCGCCTGCAGAGAGGTCAGGGGAGGACAGAGGGAACTCCAGGTCCCGTTCTTCCCGGAGACGGGGTGGAGTGCCAGTTGGCAGGTGTGCTCTCCTTCCCACCAGCCCTGCACCGGCGGCTCTGGCCAGTCCAGTCCTGCCCATGCTTCCTGGTCCCGCCCCCTCGCCGCCCAAGGGGACAGCCCCTTGCTCATACACAAGGAGAGCTCTGGCCCGGCATTACCGTAATTCTCAAGGTATCTATCTACAAGGGAGGGGTGGGAGGGACAGCCTGTCTCTGTGATAGCAGCAGACTCCCTCATCCAGCTTCCTGGTTATGACAGTCATTCAGGTTCCCCTTAGCCAGCTGTCCCCACCGTAGGTGCCTCTCACCCACATGAGCCCTGCTGCAGGGGACCAAACCACCACAGGGTCCTTGCCTGGGAGGTTTAGGTGACTTCCCAGTGCTTCCCGCCCTGTGGCTCTGATCTCATATCGTCTGGATGCAGATGATCAAGTGTTATTTTAATAGACTGTGTGCTTCCAGGGGGTGGGGGACACTGGTGGCCTCACAGCGCTCTCACTCGGTCACCTGCACCTGACTCGCCAGGCATCTTGCGCAAACAAGGACTCCACTTGGGGTGGGGGGTCTGCCGTTCTAACAAGCTCCCAGGTGGTGCAGGTCCCAGGCCTACCCTCCGAGCACCAAATGCTGCAGTAGCGCCTCTCCTCCCAGCCTCTACTGTCAGATTCAGTGGTTCCCAGGTGGGGGCAGCAGTGCCTCCCAGAGAGACAATTTTTGGTGTCACAACGGGGGTGCTGCCCCTGGCCAAGGAGTGGGCAGGGAACAGGATCCTACCACATGCAGGGCTGCCCCCACAGCAAAGGAGCAGCTGGCCCAGAGTGTGGATCATGCCCAGGTTGAAACCCTGCGTGCTAACTCAGAAGCATCTAATGCTGTCTATATACCAGAGTTCCCTGGAGTTCTGAAAATGTCAGTCTGAGGGTCTCTCCTGGACAAGGGCCTTGGGATCTTTGGGGTGAGGCCTCAGCTCGATACTTTCACATGCAAACGGGGGCCCCGAGGTGCCCTCCAGCTGAGAGCCAGCAGCCTCCACCGCTGTGGCGGACCCCGGCCGGCAGAGTCCGCCTGTTGTGGCTGAAAGAGAAAATAAATGCACGGACGACAGCAATCCTGCGGAGGAAAAGGGGATGGCACGGCCACTCTCTCCAGGGGAGAGTATCTGTGAGTGCCTCGGCCACTCCCTCCAGAGGAGAACGCCCTGACCCTTGCCTGGACAGGCTTTTATTGTTTTTCTCGGGGCTTACATCAGAGAAAGATTTATTACCTATTACACAGAATATTGTTGTCCACATTTTAGGGACAATCCAGGAAATGAAAATGACATGCAGAAGGGAATGGCGCCGAGCTGATTAGCTTTGTCCTTGGGTGAATTCACACAGGCTTTGGGAATTACCTGGAAGATAGATGATACACATCTGTTGTTTTAGGCCAGGGTGATGGAGTTTTAGCAAGAGCAAGCCGTAACAGTCAGTGTGCATTCTCTAGGCCCGATTCCCACGGGGAAACTCGGTTCGAAGGTCTGGCTCCTGCCCGCCACCTCGCTTCTGTAGGTTTCCCACACATACAGAGCTGAGTCACATTTGCCAGACTGAAACAAACCGGTCCCCTACACACCACCATTGACTGTAACCATGGAAATTAGGGGTGAGGAAGAGGGCTCGTATCTGGGGGCTTTTTACATTCCCCGTAATTGCACAGCACACATTTCTGCTAACGCTGGCCAATGGGGTGTGGGACAACCGGAAGACACACCACTTGGGGGAATGAGAGGGACCCTCTGTGTGGGGAGGTTGGGCGGGAAGGAAGGTTCTGACTCCGCCCTGGTGCAAGGGGTCGCCGGCTGGGGTTCTCGTCTTCTCCCCTTCCTGTAGCTCCACTCCACACGACATCTGTCGTTCCTGGCTTCAAACGCCATGGGGACTACTGGGGAGCTTCAGTTCCATCTTTATGGAAACTGTGGAGGTGGGTGGTTAACAACAACCATCACCACCACGTCACATCGCAGGTGAGAAGGTGAGGGAACAGAAGAATCAGTGGGCTGGCTGGGAAAATGGCAGAGATCAGATTAGAACCTAGAATTTCAAATCAAATAAAGTCTTCACTTTCTTCGTTGCTTTCCATAGAGTTTATTTGTTCATTCATTCATTCATTCATTCATTCATTCAGAATGTGTTGCCAATTGGCGATGGGCCAAGTCTCATTTTCATTGCCGGCTAAACAAGTCTTAGGGAGTCTTTGCCCACCAGTAACACACAGGCGCATGGGCGGGAGGGTGACCGGTACAGATCATCACAGCACAGTGTGGTGAGTGTCCCTGGAGGCGCCCGAAGAGCAGGACCCACAGTGCTGTCCCCACCCCGAGTCCCACCGACCGTGCGGCTCCCCACACCCCTCGGATCTTCAGCTGCCTCGTCCATCCAATGGGTGTAAACCCTCCCCTCCCCGGACTGTGACGGCACGATGACGCCATCAGAGGGACAGGTCCAAAGTCAATGTTTGGTCATTCCTTCACCTGCTTCGTTAAGATCCTGTATTGGATAAACAGACAGAGTGGGTCAATAAAACATGAAAATGTGCTTCTCCCTTTAGAAAGAAGGCAGACATTTTTCTTAAAGAGGGTTTTGATGCCCTGGCTGGCGTAGCTCAGTGGATTGAGCGCAGGCTGCGAACCAAAGTGTCGCAGGTTCGATTCCCAGTCAGGGTACATGCCTGAGTTGCAGGCCATGACCTCCAGCAACCACACATTGATGTTTCTATCTCTCTCTTCCCCCCTTCCCTCTCTATAAATAAATAAATAAATAAATAAAATCTTTTTAAAAATATGTTAAAAAAAGAGGGTTTTGAAGTTTTCTTGTCGCCTCTAAAAGAGAGGTGTGTGTATCCTAAGCACTGTCCACTCCGCCCAGCACCGGCTCACCTTCTGAAGGAAGAGCGGCTCTGGGCTCACATCTCCAAGGGAGGCGTCCTTTGTACCGAGAACAAAAGAAGCCAGGTTTGCTGGCGTGGTTGTTGTGAGACCATGTGACCACGGAGATCTGCTCTGGACTCCTGAGCAGGCATTCTGGCTTCGGTTCTGCACACTGAGCTCCAGAACAAACTGTGAGAATGAGTTTCGTGTTTTTATTTCTCCCGGCAAATGGCCGGGTCCAGCCAAAGCTTGTGCTGATCAAACACACCTTGGCTGTCAACACCGATGACCAGGATTATTGGAGGCTTGGCACTGTGGACCTAGGCAAATCAAACAGCTGTTTTACCAACAAAGCATTATAATTCTGGACATTCGATCTAATGGCAAAACCATAGGCAGGTAAGACAAAGAAGAGGGCTGTTCTTTGCACAAAGACGGAGCTGGGAGGGGCTCTCACACAGTCCGCTGGAGGAAAGTGGGAGTTCCAAGTGCAGTGGCTTTTCACCGGCTGCATTGTGACAGTCTCTCATTGGCTGGGCTGTTGCGGGGCAAGGAGAAAAATCTTCCTTCTTCCTTCTTCCTTCTTCCTTCTTCCCTCTTGGGTGGTAAAATAGAAAAACATCTTCCTGTTGGAGACAAGGCTCGCCTTTTCCTATTTGGGGGCAATGGAGAATAAACGGTAGAGCATGAGGACCCCCCTACAGGCGGCCCTCCCAACTCCCATTCTAACTGAGGTTGCCTTTATTAATTTTCAGAGCATCAACCCACTTTTCCTGATCCTTGTGGCCTGAACTCCCATTACAAGTACCGGTAGACACCAGAAGCATTGTTTTAGGGAACAAATGTTGTTCCAAAACTACCAGGTAATTATTACTCCCAGCTGAATCCAGTTTGAGGCCCTTGAAGAGGAGGCCTCCAGAGAGATAAGATTTATACAGAACGCATGGGTGTGCGAGTATCACCGCTGACAAATCCCTGGTCAGTTTCCTTATCCGCAGATCAGGAGTTTGGAGAGCAGACTCCCTGTAAGGAGCCGCCTTCCAACTCCTGGAAGGTCGTGTGACCCTAGGTTTGGATTAGCCTGCTGTTATAGACTGAATACTTGTGTCCTCCCCCCCGCTCCCACCCAGTTCATGTGTTGAAGCCCTACCCCCACAATGTGCATGTATTTAGTCAGGGGATAACTAGGTTTAGATGAGGTCATGAGGGTGGCCCCCTGGTAATGAGATTAGCACCCTTAGGAGAAGAGGAACAGACCACCGGAGTGAGCTCTCTCTGGCACAAGAAGAGGCCACAGTGCAATAGCAGCTGTCTGCAATCGAGAAAGGCAGACGTCACCGAGAACCTGATCTGCAGGCACCTTGATCTTGGACTTCTAACCTCCAGAACCAGAGAAAGTTAACACCTGTTGCTTAAGCCACTGGTCTGCGGGATTTGTTCCAGCAGCCCTAGCTAACATGACTACAAAGGAAAGGTGCTTCATTGCACTCTGATTCACAGTGGCCACGACATGGAGACAACCAAAGAGCCCTTCGGCAGGGGACTGGATAAAGAAGACGTGGCCCATAAACGTGACGGAACACCACTCAGCCATGAGAACAGATGGAAGGCTGCCATTTGCAACAGCGTGGGTGGACCTTGAGACTATCATGCTGAGTGAGATAAGCCAGCCAGGAAAAGCTAAGAACCATGAGATTTTACTCATATATAGAATATAGAACTGAAACCCATAGACACAGACAAGACATAGCGGTTGCCAGAGGGAAGGGGGTGGGGCAGTGGTATAGGGTGAAGGGGGTCACATATATGGTGGCGGAAGATGATTGGACTCTGAGTGGTGGGCACACAACGCGAGATTCGATGACGTATCAGAGAAATGTACGGTTGAAGCCTGTATGATCTTGTCGACCAGCGTCACCCCAGTCAATACAATTTAAAAAATAAAAAATAAAAAGGAGAAGAAATGCTGGAGGAGGTTGAACTAAGTGAATCCTGGACTGTTTACCAGCCCTGCCTTTTAGTAGCCACTCATTTGATATCTAATTCTTGAGAGCTTACGGAGTGCCCCACCGCACAGGGCATGGGGGACATGGAGGAATAAACACGGTCCCTGCGTCCAGAAACGCACAGGCCAGCAGGTGCCACTGGTGTGCAAAGGAGCCATCACCCCCACTTTATAAGAAATACATGAAAATCCTGGGCATGGGCAGCCTGGATCGGAAGAAGTCACCACGGAAGCATTTTCTCAGAAACAGTTTAAGATGGAAATTAATTCTAACGTACTTCAACTGAGGCTCCTCGGACTTTTTTTTTTTTTAATTATATTTCTGTTGGACAGTGAGGCTCTAGACTTTTTTTAAAGATATTTATTTATTTATTTATTTATTTGAGAGGGAAGGGAGGGAGAAAGAGAGAGAGAGAGAGAAACATCAATGTGCGGTTGCTGGGGGTCATGGCCTGCAACCCAGGCATGTGCCCTGACTGGGAATCGAACCTGAGACACTTTGGTTCACAGCCCACACTCAATCCACTGAGCTACGCCAGCCAGGTTCCTCGGACTTTTTAAAAATTTCTTTTTAATGAGACACGGTTCTAAAAGGGCTGAGGATAGCAGTGAGGAAGCTAAGCCCTGACTCGCGGAAAGCTCCCGCAGATGTGTTGGGTAGATGTGGGCCAGTGCATTGCCAGAACCCCGAAGGGGACTTCGCGGGGTGGGGGGAGGGGCGGCTCACACACCCGCGCGTCTTGAGCTCCCCTGGAGCCCCTGCGGGCAGGCCAGAGGTCTGCAGGCTGGCCAAGAGGGCTGCCATCTTTCCCAAAGTGGGCAGCGCCCAGCCTTTTTACGTGTACTTCTCAGCGTCCGGAACCTCCCTGGGGGACTCTCACGGACTGCAGCTTGGTTGAGCAGTTTCAGCAAGCACAACCTCAGGAAAGCCTAAAGCAGCCGGGGGACCTGGGGTAGGGCAGCCTTGGGAAGGAGCCTGCGCAGCGGGAAAGGCGGTGATGGGCCCAACGCACATGGGGGACCAGTAAAGGCTGGAGGGACCCCACGGGACACGTTGGAGGAGGGGAGTGGAAAGGTGGAGATGTACCCAACAGCCCCACGTGGGGTCTGCAACCTGGGAGAGGCCCTGTAAAGCTGCCAGTTTCACTGGGCCCACCCGAGGGAATGGCGCATGGATGCCACTTGTCGCAGCGCCGGAGCCGCAGGGAGACGGTATAGACCGCACCGCGCGTGCGCAGGCCTCGTCTGGGATGGCGCGGGCGCGGAGGCACCGACTGCTCCTGGGGCGCAGAAACCCGAGGCGGCGACTGGGTGAGAGGGATCCCGGCAGGACGGTGGTGGAGATCCGGGTGGGCGTCGGGTCGGGTCAAAGTCGGAGTCACACCTGGGGCCCGGCCTGCGTTGGGACGAAGGACTGCCCTGCAGGCCTGGACCCCAGGGGTCGGAGGGGACTGGCCTAGGACTCGTGGGGAGAAGCGCTAGGGTCTCCGAAGCTGGTTGCCCAGGGATGCATGCGAGAGCCGGACTCCCTTAGACCCCTCAGCCGGTGGGAGACCTGAGCCGCTCCGCGCCTTGCTGGGCCTGGGCACGAACAGCAGGTTGGCTGTGACCCAGGACCTCTATCTAGGCTGGGCTCCACCTGTGCCCCTGAGCAAGGGGGCTGCCATCTTTCCTAGTGCTTCACAGGAAAAGAAGATGCCCTTGGCGCGGGTCGAGGGTCCAGGTAGGACTCTCTTGGCTTGATGAGTGACCGCTGCAGTGACAGGAGAGAGGCAGGCAGCCGACAAGGGTCAGGGCTGCGCCTCGGTCCAACCTATGAATCGCTGCGTTTCAGAAATCCCTTCCGCTGTTTTCCGTGTAGCATTTTTGGCCTATTACATACACAGGCTATAGAGATATTTTGTTTTGTTTTTTCCCCAAGGTCTTACCTTTAAGACACACTTTTTTTTTCTCTTTGTAATATTCTAGGACAGATGCCACATAATGTTTCTTTGGTAGTCCCCTCCCTCATATTCTTTCTAAATCAAAACAAATTCATTTAGTTTTTCTCTTGATTGCTAAGACAGTGAAAGACCAAACACCCCATCAAGGCAGCAAGAGCGACCATTTATGGGGTGCCTCTCTGTATTGTTCTGTGTACCTTCCTTCTGTTCTCACCCCTGAGTTGGGCATTGTGACCCCCATTAGCTCACACCCCAGACCACGGAACTAGGAGATCCCAGTCAGTCTGGTCCAATTTCCATGCTCTTCCTCCTAAAAATTTCAGCCCCAGCAGCCAGCAAAAATTGTTTCCTAAAGAGTGAAAATCAGCAGCAAAGGACATGACTTCGGGCGTTGGGTTTCTAGTGTGGTTTTGTTTCTCACGCAGCTTGCACTCCAAGCCAGGTGCAAGCCGTCGGGTCACAGAGGGACGGTGAGGGCGAGGAGGGAGAGCTGTGATGCGGGGTGCGCTCTCGCCCTGGCCCTTGAGCACCTGGGTCACCTCAGTTTGGGTACATCTCCACGAAAGGGGACATGGCTCTCCAGGAATCTAGGACACCGACTGCAGGGTCTGGGACTTAGGAGACCCAGGTGCCAGCTGGGTGACCACAGGCTACGAATGTGCCCTTGGCACTTCCAGCTGCCTCCCTAGACCAGAGGGGGCGACCAGGGACCTGGCACGCAGCACAGGATTCCATACTGTTCGAGGGAGTGCTGAGCAACGTCCGCCTCCGGACCCGCCAATGAATCCGCTACACGGAAACCTGCAGCGACCAAAAGCTCTGTCCCAGTCTCCAAATGGACCCTGCCTTCTGACAAATGCGCAGCGATCGCAACAACCCCCGTCGCCACACCCCTTTGGAGTTGTTCTCTTATTTCTGCGCCACTCCAGCTCACGAAAATCAGGTGCCTTTTCTTTCCACCAATGAGCCGCTCCCTACACAAGGGCCTCTTGCGTATGCAGTGGGAATTCCGCGACAGTTTCTCTCATCCCACCACGCCGGCCGAGAGCACTGTGATGATGCAGAAAACCTGTAAAGCAGCCATTCGAGCTGTGGGATATAAACCTCCCCAGTCACAGTTACGGGCGCCAAAGACAGTCCAGAGATGTGGGCGCTCCCCAAAACCTTAAGTGTTTGTGTCAAGGTGGGTTTCTGCAGCTAAGGGGGTGGCCCGGCTCTTGGTTTCCGCAGGCAGCGCCTCTCCAGAGAAAACCCCAAGTTACCATGGACTGTCCGCAGAAACTCATCTGGCACCTTTGGAGACCGTCAGAGGAACAATCCGCAAGTAAGAGTTTGACACATAGAATAGACCATAGGTAGAAGCTTAGACACGCACCCGCCAGTCCTTCCTAAGAGCAGTGGCTGTTCACGAACCAACAGGTGGACGGTCCACAGGGAACCTCCACGGGGGCATCGCCCTCTGGCCCGTCCAGGTAGCGACCCAGGAAAATAGGGAGCAGCCCAGAGTGGCAGCTGAAAGAAGGGCCAAACACCCGCTTATACTCACAGTTCACCTGTCTTCTGCCCTGTTCAGACTCGGGGATTTCTGCGCTACCTGGGCTTTCTGCCAGGGGTTCCCCACCCCTGGATGACCTATTCTGGACAAGCAAGCTGCTGACAGGGTTAGGATGTAGAGGGTTGAAAGTTTTCACCCAGAAGGTGCCTTCCCCAGCTTCAGGATTCTACCCGTTCCCTCTGCCGTCTTGCCCCAGGGCAGCCCCCTGTCCTGTTGTCGTCACCCCCAGCATCCTGGCTCCAGCGCCTCTCCGCGTGACCCCAGGCACAGGAGCCTGTGGCGGGGACCCTGCACAAACTCAGCCCCTCTCTGCTGCCCAGGACTTTCCTTGGGCTGTGCCCCTGTTTGCAGGTCAGTCCTCCCTGGGAATCTGTCGCTGCTTCGCTTTCCCAAACTTTGCACAGAAGGTGAGCTGTCCGAGTCCTGTATCTTCGTCATTTTTGTTCCTTGGTGCCCCTCTGGGGCTTACACAGTGCCTGACGTCTCACAGTGCTTCATAAACATTTGGCTAATTGAATCGAACTGAACAGAGACGTCTACCTGCCACAGAGCTGCCCTGTCTGGGATTCCGGCCCCCGGAAAGACGAACACTTTCTCTGCAAAGGGTGGAAGAGCTCTGAGGATCGGCCCTTCTGCTGCACTATGGCCGTCCCAAGGTGTGTCCAAGACATGGAGGGTCTTTGCTTTGCTGGTAGCCGGTCAGCTGGCCAGGATTCTGGACAGCTGCACCCCAGCTTAGCCTCCGGGCCGACGAGACAAAGTGCGGCTCCCGTGAACGGTGACACGTCTGGGCCTCTCCTGGTCACTCTGCGAGCACGTGCCATGCATGAGCTCGTTCAACCTCAGCAGTTCCGAGATTGTGTTGTTCTCCTCATTTCACAGATGAAAAAGAAAACATGAGGATCAAGGGTATTAAATCAGTTGCTCTGAGTTCCTTAGCGTGATGGAATGGGGATCGAAACCGAGGTCTGCCCGGCTCTAAACCCAGGGGAGCTGACCCTTCTGTGGCTAAAGGGTCCACTCAGCGTTTCAGCCCGACGGTCCAGAGCAGCAGGCCTCAGGCGTTTCCATGGCAGGGTCCCGACGCACCCCGAATGGAATCGGGGCCCCGGAGGCCTTTTTTTATGTAGGGGGTGCATTCAACGTTAACAGTGAGGCCTTTTTAAAGCGTTTGTCAATTCATTCAAAAATAGTAACAAAGCACTCCTTTGCATGTTAACATAGCTTTATGAAAAATAATTCTATTTTCTGGAACAAAAGAATCTAATGAGAAGAATGGCATCATTTTGCATTTTTGCTCATCCCTCTAGTGTCCTTCACAGAAGACAGCTGGGTTCTCAGAGCTCCTCTGGCATTCGGTCTGCTGGCAAAAAACCTGGCCTCCCAGCAGCACGAGGTGGGGATGGCAAGGGGAGTCTTCGTGTCCTTCTCCGAGCACTGTGGATATGCTTCTCTGAGGCTAACCTAAAACGCAGCAAGTGTAGTTTCTTCTAAGAGTCGTTGCGCAGAATTTTTGAAGGCGGATTTTTCTAACTGCTGTGTTCAAAGGTATTGGTCTGCTCGGCACTTTGATCGGACCTCTGAGCCTGGTGTGATTTTGCGTCTTCACAAATCCACCATTGCTTGGTTCCGCCATTGGCTCGGTGAAACGGTGGTTCACCGAGGCACACAGATCCTCTCGCTGTACGGTCGGCAAACTCTATCGAACGCTCCTGACACGGTGAGAGTGGAAAAGGCGCCCGGTGTCAGGGTATGTTTTCGATGTCATGGTATTAAGTTTTGGCCTCATCAACTCCCTGGAGCGCCTGCTGGACGCCCAGGGCCCCCGGACCCCCGCAAGGGAACCGCGCGGTCTGTGGTGTGAGGTGAGTGGCCACTGAAAGCACAGTCCTGTGAGCAGTTACGGAAGGAATAAAAAGTCCAGTCTGATAACCTGACCATTTCAGATGGAAACAGAAATATGTGCAATTCAGTATGTGACACGAAGGAAAGACAAACGAAGATATGAGTGCACAGAAGTTACAGATCAGTAAAAAACAAACAAGCAAAAAAACGCTTTACAGTTGACTGACCTAGGCAGCTAGCTCCTTGTGACCCCAAGTCACACCCTGCTATGGCTCTGGACATTGCTCACCCATGAGCTCATGGGTGGCTGGAGAGTCCGGGATGACCAGAGGCCTGCAGGGCCAGGGGGAGAGGGTGGCAGAGAGGAGGAGAGGCATGGTGGGGTAACCCCGAAGGAAGGGCAGGAGACGGTGGGCAAGCCCATCCAGGTCGAGGTGGGACCACAGATGGTCCCCTCCAGTGCTGCTGAGGAATGGCGAAGACGGCTCGGAGAACGGGCCACCAGCCAGAGCCAAGAGCAGGCTTCGGAGGGGGCCGCCCCGGGCCTGGAATGACGCCCGGCCGGGGCAGCTGTCGGGCGCTGCGGTGGCTGGGCTGAGCCGTAAATGCGCTTCTGGGGCCCAGGGACCTGCGCGGGTTCACGCACCTGTTCAGCTTTATCACTTTTATGTGTTTGTTGCTTTCTTTTTTTTTTATAACATACTTTATTGAAGTATAATATATAGGCAGCAAAGTACACAAATCCCAAATGTATACAGCCCTATAACCTTTTGCTTAGGATTGCTGTGTCCTCACTGTCCGGGTAAAGATAAAGAACTTCTCACACCAGGGAGTTGCCCTACACCCCTTCCCTCCCCAGCGCTCTGAGGGAACCCCCGTGCTATCCTCTGTCACCATAAATTAGCTTCATCAGTTACTGAATTTCACGCACTGGGCAAGAAAACACAGGCATGTGGAAGCTAAACAGCACGCTACTCAACAGACAGCGGTCAAAGGGGAGGTCAAATGAGAACTCAAAACTACCTTGAGACAAATGACAATGAAAACACAACTTTCCAAAATTTGTGGAATGCAGCAAAAGAAATTCTAAGAGGGAAGTTCATAGCCTCAAAGGCCTACCTTAAGAAACTAGAAAATCTCAAATAAATAAACTAAATGGACACCTAAAAGAACTAGAAGTGGAAGAACAAAGCAAGCCCAAAGTATAGAAGGAAGGAAGGAACGGAGTTCAGAGTGGAAATAAACGACACGGAGACTAAAAAAGCAAAAGAGAAGATCAGTGAAACTAAGGGCTGGTTGCTTGAAGGGACAAATAAAATGGACAAAGGTCCAGCCATACTCATCGAGGAAAAAAAGACCCCAAATAAATGAAACCAGTAACGAAAGAGAGATCCTGCCTGACACTACAGCCAGACATGGGGCCGTCAAAGAATACCGTGGACAATTAGATGCACACAAATGGGACAATCTAGAAAGAAACGGATACATTTCTAAAACCATACAACCTGCTGAGACTGGAGCAGGCAGAAACAGAAAATCTGATCGGGCTGATTACTAAGCAATGAAATTGAGACAGTCATCAGAAAACTCCCAAAAAACAGAAGCCCTAGATGGGACCACTTCACAGGTGATTTTTACCAAACGTTCAAAGAAGAATGAACACCTGTCCTCTTCAAACTATTGCAGAAACATGGAAGAAGAGCAGGTGCTTTCTTCAAATACCCACCTGAACCCACCCTGCCTCCCCCTGGCCTCTGAGTGAACAAGAGGAAATGCAGACGTGACCCTGACCCTGGAGCCTGGGCCCCTTTTCCCTAATCCCACCCCCCAGCTCCCCACCCCCACCCCCGCCGTGTAAAGAAAGCAGCGGGAGCTGGTGCACCCGTGCTGGGCTGTGATAAGGCCGTGAACAGGGGATCTGATCTGGGAGAAGCAAAGAGGCCTGGGGTGGTGGCCCCGGGGCCACTGGGACTCAGCTTTGAAGTTTAAAAGGCTCAAGTCCTGTTTATCTTTGCAGCCGTTTTCCTCTGTGAGACATTAAAGTGGGGCCTGTGTCCACGAACCATTAAGGGCCACAGTGTCCTCCCTTCAGAACGCGCCCTGTTCATTCCGTCTGCCCCCCCCCCCCAGTCGAGGAGCGGAGCGCTCAGGGGCTGCAGACGGGCAGCTCCTGGGCCCCACCCAGGGCACCTGCCAGACAGCCTGCGCACTTCCCGGTCCGCACCTACCTGGCCGGTGTCTGCCTTTTGCCCGCCCTCCCCGCCACCTGCTCCAGAGCTGGTTAGCTGCCTGGTCCTCCTCCCAGCCCTCCCCGTAGCTGGTAGGAGGTCCCCCGTCCACCACCGGGAGCTGCTGCCTATGGCCAGGAGGGCGGGCAGCAGCCCTGGGAAGATGCGCTGGGTGGCCGTCGGTGAGTTGCAACCCCCACCGCCAAAGGAGGAAAGCAGGGGCCCGGGCAGGGGAGGCGTCACCCCTGGCGATTCCACCCCACTGAGCTGGAGGGTGGGGCTGGCTGGCGCTGTGGCTGACCCCTCCGATCCGGGACTGGGAATGCAGAAAGCCCGTCTAGCGGAGGTGAATGGGGGGGTGGGGGGGGGCGCGGCGGGGGCCGGACTCGGAGCAAGCTCTCTACAGCACTTCCTCGGGCTCCCCCTGCCTGTCTCCAGGGGCCCAGCTGCGATTATTTAGGGATTATTTAGGGACGGGAATCCGAGAGTGTGATGTTGAGGCTTGAAAGTAGGTATTTGCTGAGCGCAGGCAGAGCAGGACTCGAGGTGGGGAGGGGAAGGGTCCGAGGGGGCAGGGCCCGTTCCTGGGAGAGCCAGTGCCTGCAGTGGGGCCCTGGACCTCCTGGGCCGGCAGGGCGCCGCCACCTGCCCTGAGAGGCACCTGTGGGCTCCATCCGAAGCTCCTCTGCTAAGTCAGGAGTCATTAGGCACACGTCCAGTGAAGGGACAGGTGAGACAGCCCTTTCCCTGTCACTGGAGGATGGGGGGGGGAGGGGGGTGAGAAGTGGGGACTCGTTAACACGGAATGCCCCATTGTGGCTGATTCTAGATGTCCCGGCCGGCCGCCTCTTTTTATCAGGCTGATGTTATTCTCTCCACGTATCAAACCGCTTGAGACTGTGGAATGTTCTGGGGGCAGGGATAGAAAAAGGGAAAGAAAGACAGCAATTATTTCCTCAATCATGTTACGCGCCCCCCCCAAGCCTGTCTTTATGACGGTGGCCTCTGCCCTCTGTCACTTGCCTGCCTCTGGCTACAGGCGTTCTGGGTTCAGGTGTGAACCGCCCCCCCCATCACGCGTGCCCTTCCTGACTGGTTCTGCCACTTTCTGTCTGTCCCCTGAGGAGTCTGGGGGCTCCTCCGGAGGTAAGGCAGCACCTCAGGACGAGAAGGCGGGGTTCCCTTGGCCTCTGCAGGGGTCGCGGCCCGGTCTGGGGCGGCGGGTCGTCAGCCACACGGTGTGTGTGTGTGTGAGACTCGCACTTCTAGCACTGGTGTCTCTCGTGTGGTCGGGCACACTCCAGAACGTTCTGTACACCTCCTTTCTGCCCCATTCCCAAAGTGCAGGAAAGCCAAATTGTCAGATTTTTTAAAATGTATTGTGTAAAATAGTCATGTTTTCCACAGAACCATTTATTTTTATGAACTGTTTTCGGGAACTTGTGTGGATTGCAGGGTAAATGGGGGGAGGCATGAACCTCTCTCTGGGGAGGAGAAACCCCCTCCCTTGGGGCACTGACTTTCATGGCGGATATCTCGGAAGAAGTTTTCTTTTTTTATTTTTTTTAAGAGTATTTATTTATTTATTTTTAGAGAGGGAAGGGAGGGAGATAGAGAGAGAGAGAGAGAAACATCAATGTGCAGTTGCTGGGGGTTATGACCTGCAACCCAGGCATGTGCCCTGGCTGGGAATCGAACCTGCGACACTTTGGTTCGCAGCCTGCGCTCAATCCACTGAGCTACACCAGCCAGGGTGGAAGAAGTTTTCATCATGCCCGTATTACATATTGTTTCGCCGGCTACTTAGCAGAAAATGCTGAACATCGTCAGGTTGCCTTTCCCACCCACAGCTTTTCCTCACCCACGGCCTCATGGTTCGCCCGTGGGCTGTGGGGTCCCTCGGCCCAAAGCCCGGCTATAACACCAGGCACTTGCTGGCATGTGAGGCTGAGAGAGAAGCCAGGCACAGGGACTCAGAGTCCTGTCGCCTTCGACTCTGTGAGCTAAAGGCCTGGCAATGTCCCTAGAAGGGACATTTCAGTGGATACGGTCCAACGCCAGTTCTGGCACAGGCGACAGCTCACACACGGTTCAGGGTCAATGGGTAAAGTGCGTTCAGCGGCCAACACCCATCACCTGTGCCCCACAGCCATCCCGGTTCCTCAAACGGAGGGTGTTGGCGTGTCAACCTGTGCAGGTGAGCTACCTGGCAAACCCACCGTGGTGTGCAGGCGGGGCATTCCCAGCTCTCCGGCCAGGAAGCCTCTGCCAACGGGACAGTGACGGCAGTGGAGACCGAGGCCGGCAGAGCGATGGAGTCGCACGGAAGCCTCAAGGATGGTCCATGGACCCCTCAGCCCTCCTGGCCCCTCGGGGACCTCCTCCAGGGGGAGAGCATTTTGTTCGTCTTGGCCAGGCTGCCCGTGACCGAAGCTTCCTCATCCCACCTCGTCCGTGTTCCTGCAGGTTGCAGGAAACCCCCTCCGGGAAGTGTGTTCAGAAGGGCCCTCTTCAGGGCCCCTGGACTGGAGGGGTGGGGGTGTCCCCAGACCCCCCAGACCTGTAGTTGGTTCGAGGACTCTTCTCCAGTGTTGGCGTCCAGGGCCAGCCTGAGACCCCTGAGGAGCAGCAGGTGGGATGAGGGTAGAACCCACACACACAGACGTGTGCACAACCACATAGGCGCACGCAGGCCTGCACACGTACACACCTGTGCAGCTGACTGAGGGTCTCAAGGAGGAAGTTCACGGACTTCCTGCCTGTGCTCAGAACTGGCCTTTGCTCTCAGAAGGAGACATGTGGGAGGCTGTGGGCTGATGATGGCTTTGTTATCTTGGTAGAAAAGGTCAGATTCTGCTTGCAGAATCACAGAAGCTTCCCAGACTCCTGGACTTTGTGCATGCCTCCCCCCAGCTCACCCCTGCAGCCGCTGGACTCACTCCCACCATAGCGCCCAGGAGCTGTCTCAGCGGAGTCCCTGGACTTTCCCCCTTTCCCAAAGCGAATGCTTATGTGTCCCTGCCTGGGTGCTGAGTTCCTCTCTGCCTCTAGTGTCCCACCCGCTCTGCGGTCACCCGCAGGGACTGAGCCCCCGGTGCAGCTGTTCGGCCCAAGGACAGGCTGGGCCACGGCTCTCCAGATGCTGCCCGCCTGCTCCTTGCCCCTCACCTCCTGGCTCTTAAGCTTGCCCCCCTTCGGCATCCCGGATGCCTCCGTGACCTGGGTCAGACCTGTGCATGGGTTACACGGGCTCACCCCCAGCCAGCGCCCCATCTTTGCTGCTGGCCCTGCCCTCCCGCCCTGGAGTGGCTCTAGGTCTTGGCTCCTCCCAGCCACCACAGGAAACCAGGCTGTCCCCAGCCTAGAGGTCATCGGTGGCACCCCTTGCCCAGCCCACAGGTACTTCACAGCCTTCCCAGGAGCCCTGAAAAGTGTGTGGCGACACGTGGCTGTTGCCTCGCAGGCGGGTCAGCCCCGGCTTACAGCTCTGCGTGAGGACCCACAGGCTTTCTGTCCATCCTTCCTTTTCTTCCCGGTCACTTCCGTCGACTTCTTGTCCTTGCTCAGCTGGCGACCAAACTGGGTCTTCCTTCCAGGTGGCTGTTTTTACACATGTGACAGGTGGCGCCACACTCCCTTTCAGCCTTCTCCAAGTGGGTCCCTGGTTTGCCAATTTTCTTCTTCAAATACGACACTTGGGTAAAGTAGTCCAGCTGTGACCCAACACACAGGGGACACAGCGGGCCATTGTTTCCGCCGGACCCGACGCCACCGGCGCCGACTCCGGGCTGCCGGCAGTCACCGCTCACAGCTCCCCCCGCCCCCGCACCGCATGTGCCCCATGGCACTCTCTGGGACACCCTGCACAGCACGTGCTGTCCTGGGTGTGCGGGCACAGCCCCGCAGGGGAGGGACCCGAGGAGTCCCACGCCGACAAGGCGGGCGAAGGGCTGCCGTGAGTGGCCTGTGCAGGCCGCAGGTGCGTGGCAGGCCGCCCCGGGGTGGGGTCACGTGGCGCGTCGGGGAGCCTTAGAGAGGAGAGGGGGGTGGGTGGGGGTCTGTGAGGGACAGCGCCCCGAGGCAGAGGGGCATGCTCCTCCACAGCGGGAGAGCAGGAGGGGCCCCCGCCACAGGGGGTCAGTGCGGCTAAGCGCAGAGCCACCCGGATTTGGAGCCTGCACGTCCACCAGGACGGGCGCCTCAGGCCCCAGGGCTCTCGTTTGTGGTGTGCGGCTGCTGCTTCCAGCTTGGTGCTGTCCCTTGAGTCCGAGAAACAGCAGCGGCTACGCGGTCCAGGTAGCTGGCCTCAGGAAACCCTCCCTGCGTAACGTTCCAGCCACCTTGGGTTCTGCGTGGTCTGGGAGATGGAGACAGTTACCGATGCCTAAATATGTAGTCAAGGGGAAACAGAAGTGTCCAGTCCCCTGAGCATGACGGCCTTAGCCACGGAGCCACACACGGGCGCCCCCCCAGACTCGACAGAGTGCGGACAGCTGTGCTCGCTCACAGGGGTACGGGGGGCCTGCAGGTGCGGGAAACGACGCGAGCGGAGGTTCGGGGCTGACGTTGGAGTGGCAGGCACAGGTGTGCGCGTCACGGCTGCCTGGAGACGGGGAAGCCTTGGGTCGTGTGCTGGAGGGCTGGGGTCCTGCCTCTGTGTCAGTGGCTGTGAACTTGGAAAAGAGGGCCCGGGAGCACCACCCCCTCGTCTCTGTTCTGGGTGCTGGGTGGGGAGACACCAACCCTCTGGCAGCCACCGGGTGTCCCGCGGTTCAGTTCGGTCCCGACACTGACCACCAGCGGTCAGTGTAGGCCCTGCAAGTTAAGAGTAAAGCCCCCACTAGCTGCCCTCTCTTCAGCTGCCAGCTGGGAGTCTAGGACAGCTGGCCCTTGCCGCCAATCCGCTGAGAACTTGGCAGTCCCCACCACTCCTTTAGCCCCCATAATTGGGCAGAACTGGCCGATGGAGTCCAGCAGGGCTGAGACAGGACGCGTGGAACAGAGGAGCAGCCCCGGGGAGCAGGGCACCCACCACCTGTCTCGTGCACCCGCAGGCACTCTGAGGACGCTGCTCTTCATCTGCCTGTGTGTGTGTGCCTGGTACGCCGGGTACCTGCTGGCGGAGCTCCTTCCGGACGTCTCCCTGTCCAGCGTGGCCTACCGCATCCGCGGCATCGGCGAGAGGCCCATCCTCCAAGGTCAGTGCCGCGGGTCCCGGCAGGCAGGGGCGGGCGGTGGCTTCCGGCCACTTCTAGGTGACGGTACTGACACGAGGAGGAGGAACCGCTCAACGCGAGCTCGCGTCCCCACGGGGGACTCCGAGGCCGCTCATGACGTTAGGAGAGCAAAGAAACTTTACGTGCAGGTTGTGTTCAGGAAAACTACGTGTTTGGAACACAACTCAAATCAGAAATTACAGAATTACATCACTAAAAAGGACGTTGGATAAGACGTGGGATGCAAAAGCAGTAATCTGTGCCCCTTTTCCAAATCTCACGGGTAGGTATGCTGGTACGTTTTTAATACAGAAATGATTACGCAAAATTAACTTAAACAAATACAAAAAAACTGAGTCACAATAAAAAGATTTTGGTAAAAGCCATTCTTTATCAAATTGAATGACCTTTTAGGATGAAAAAAAAAAGAACTTTCTAGGAATTGGCTGTGTGATGCGGTGTTGGCACCTGATTAGGCCCCCACCCTGGGTCTGCCGGGGGGCCAGAGAGCCCGGCAGCACCCCATCCCGGGTGCATCCCAGCCCCCCGGGAGGCCCTGCCGGCGCCGGCCCGGGAGGCGCCCTCCAAGGGCTCATGCTCTCCTTCTCCCCGCTTTTCCCCGAAATGGGAAGTCCGTCCTGGACACGGCTTCCTCTGTGAGCAGCGGCCGGCACCGGGCGCCCAGAAGGGCTCGCGTGCTGAGCGTGTCTGTTAGTAAGACAGCGAGCCATGGGCAGGGAACCCCGGCCCCTAAAACTGCCGTGCCTACAAAGCACCCTCTCCCTTTTATATACGTGCGATTTCAAGACAAACACAGATTAAATTAACCTCGTATCTTTGGGCGGATTTCCGAAGCTCCTTATTAAAACTGGTGACCCCTCTCCTATTTCTGCCCCCCTCTCCCCCCACCCCCCCACCCCCACCCCCCTCCGGGCGCCCACAACCTCGGGACTTCGGGGCCAAGTCCTGCTGCAAAACAGCTGCGTTGACGGGCGAGCAGTGAGCTCTTCTTGATAAAGCCTGGCCTGACCTTGTTATGGTCTTGTTCATTGCAGCCCCGGTCCCCAAAAGGCAAAAATGTGACCACTGGGCCCCGTGCCCACCGAACACCTATGCCTACCGCTTGCTCAGCGGCGGCGGCCGGGACAAGTACGCCAAAATCTGCTTTGAGGACGCACTGTAAGTGCCAGTGTGGGACTGGAAGACCTCGGTCTAAGTTCTAAGAGGAATGCAGTTTCCAGGTTCCCCGAGGGACTGAGTCCGCAGGAAGCTGGGGATAGGTGTGTGTGGAGTGAGCGTGGGTGGGGGGACTGTCCCAGGCGCTGGCTCAGGCCCCCGCGTGTCCGAGAGGGACCGGTCGGTGCGTGGCGGCGGCTGGGCAGGGACTCTGCTGAGTGCAAACCGGGTGGGGCAGCGAGGACCTCCCCGTGCCTGCTGAAAAAGGAACCCTTTCACTCACGTTTATTTACCTTCCAGGCTCATTGGAGAAAAGACCAGGAATGTTGGGAGAGGAATAAATATTGCCATTGTTAATTGTAAGTTATCACACGTTTTCTTTAAAACTTCTCAAAAAGCTCTGTGACTGGATTGTCAAGGGCACCTTGGGTTTTCCGTGGTTTTTGCACTTGACCTACTCTAGGTTCTTATGTTAATGCATTTTTTAAAATACATGATCAGTTTTGCAACGCCTGGCGTTACTGATTATTTATGGGTCCTACAAAAATAACAAACCTGAAGCCGAATACAGATTTAAAAACAAGCCAACACAAAGGCCTGGCAGAGGCAGGGTGAGCACCATGCAAGCAGAGCGGGGCCCACAGGTCCCCCCTCCCACCCTCTCGGATTCCCAGTGCCCCGGGGACTAGGGCCTCAGGGGAAGCAACGCTCGGCCCCCTCTTAGGCCTGGGAAACAGTGTTCTGTCAGGATCCCCCAGATCGGTGGCCACTGGGAACCCCCGACAATAACAGCGGCCGCAGGTCTGGGACTGGGCTCTCCTGCCGCGTCCCTGGGAGCACACCCTGCATGCCGTCCAGGGACAGCGGCAGTAGGCGCCCAAGACGGAATGGGCCCTGCATGATCATCAGGAAGGGGACCCCGAGTATGGAGCAGAAAGGGCTGAGGGGGGACTCCGGGGTCTCTGTGGGAAGAGGCAGGTGGAACAGGGAAGGGCAGCATCGAGTCTCTTGGGAAGCAGCCGGAAGGAAGTGGCAGAGCCGCTGAGGGTCCCCGTGTCGCCGCCCGTATAGGGACCACCCTCCAGGGCAGGCGGCCGCCTCACACATGCCGTCCTCACAGCCGCCACGCTCCCTGGAAGAACACAGGGAAGACACAGGCCACACTGAACACTCCAGTACCACAGACCCACCATGGGTGCTGATGGACTGTCTTTTAAAAACCGTTCCTTTTCTTTTCAGATACGACTGCGAAAGTGATAGCAACACAGTATTTTGACATGTACGAAGGAGGTAAGAAAATTCTTTTCCTGTTACAATTTAAATGAGTAATAAAAATAAATGAAGATTCAAAAAAAATCAAACAAAATGCCAAGCGCTTTTATTTTGTCTGCTAAGGAAATGGTCGGAAGTTCATGTTGAGTATTTTGAAGATTTTATTTATTTATTTTTAGAGAGGGGAAGGGAAGGAGAAAGAGAGGGAGATAAACATCGATGTGTAGTTGCCTCTGGAGCGCCCCCTGCTGAGGACCTGACCTGCAACTCAGGCATGTGCCCTGACTGAGAATTGAACCAGCGACCCTTTGGTTCGCAGGCTGGCGCTCAATCCACTGAGACACACCAGCCAGGGCTCATGTTGAGTATTTTAGAATGGTCATCCATAAGTCCTCTTAGTCTCTGAATTCATATAATACAGTTTGAAGGCGTTATCTAGAAAATTCCTTTCCCTCATTGGATAATGGGGAAGAGACACCCTTAAATCGAATATCTGTCAGATGATACGAGAAGCACCCAGCCCTGACTGTCACCATCATCACCATCCTGTGTCTGGCGCCCAGGGGCCTCAGCACACACGTCCCTGGGCCTCTTGGTGCCCACTCTCCTTCATGCTCTCTCCATCTGGGCGCTGCGTCTTGGCTCCAGGTGTCCGTCAGGATATACCAGCCCCTCTCATTTTTATTTAACACTGGGTGCTATTACCATGTTTTGCCGTATATAATGTGCACTGCGCACCCACGTTTTGTGTGCATTAGACATGGGATTATTATACTCATTCTTATACCCATGGTATGTGTTCATTATACCCATGTATACTGTGCATCCTTATTTTCCCCTCAAACGTTTGGGCAAAAAAATGTGCATTATACACGGCAAAAATATGGTGAAAAACAAGTCCCCATAAAGATAATGGAGAAGAGTAATGAGAAACGCCAGGGTGCCATTTGTGGGAACTGGGCATTTCGCTCTGCAGCTAGCTTACACATAATTGTAAAGAGCAAGCCCGGTGGTAAGTAATGGGGTTAGAGACTCACCTTTCTTTTTTCCTGTAAGGCGTAGACAGGCCTCCTAGCGAAGACTGCCCCACGCAGGGCCTGGCCTGTGTCCCCACTCTGTTCTGCACGTGGTAGGTCGGTACCTGGGGCTGCTCTAATCTAAGATGCTCACGTGTGGGTATGGGCTGCGTCAGTCACTGCAGGGAACGCTCTGCCCGAGCCGCCAAGGTTGCTGCTTGTTTCAAAAGTTAGATCAGCAGAATCTTTGTGGCCCGATGGTGCTCTGGCCTCGGATGGCCCCGCCCTGGAAGCCGGGCAGCCCTTCACTAGTAAAGAGCAGGCGCACCGACGGCGCGGTCGAGGGAGGAGTTCTGGGCATCCGAGGCCTCGAGGTGGACACAGACGCTGAGGGCAGAAATAGCACAGCGCCCAGGGCTGCAGTCTCGGGGAATCACGCACCTGAAACTGGTTTGCACTGACCCAACAGATAACTCTGGAGCGATGACACAGTTTATTCGGGGTGCTCCGGCGAAGTCTCTGCTCTTCATGGTGACCCACGACGACGGCAGCAGCCGGTGAGTGTGTGCAGCGTTGGCGCGACAGTGCGGGTGGGCAAGGCCACCCGAGCCAGCGAGCCAGCGGGGCCGAGAGGGCGGGGCCGAGAGGGCGGGGCCGAGAGGGCGGGGCCAAGAGGGCCGGACCAGTCAGGGCCCCTCCGCACCCTCCAGGACACAACCAGCCACCCAGAGGCGTGAGGCTTCTTTAAGGAAAAAGGATGGAGGCCGTGACGAAGCAGACTGCTTTTCCAAAGACATGGCCCGCCAGCGGAGCCCCTCAGCATTAGAAGGCAAGGGTTATGCCTGGGGCGCACGACAGAGCCACGGCTGAGCATAACCAAAGTAGCACAGCCAGGAAAGCTACACCCGCGAGGGGACTTCCAGAAACGGGAAAGGAAATTGAGGACATTTCTATGTGGAGCCAAAGAAGGAAACGCGCACACACACACACATACACACACACACACATGCAATGTTTTCCCTGGGGAGAAGCTGATCTGACCCCGGGCTTCTCCACCTCTGCTCGTCTAAGTACAGCTGCGTCTTCTCTGCCGACCTTCCCGGAGCCTGGAAGTGCTTATTTGCATCACTGTGGCTTTCCTACATGGGGCTCCTGAGCTCAGCATTTCCCAGATTACTTTATCCTCAGGTTTTATTTGTTTTTAAAGATTTTATTTACTTCTTTTTAGAGAGAGGGGAAGGAAGGGAGAAAGAGAGGGAGAAAAACATTGAAGTGAGAGAAATACATTGATTGGTTGCCTCTTGCACGCCCCCAACTGGGGACCTGGCCCACAACCCAGGCTTCTGCCCTGACTGGGAATTGAACCGGCAACCTTTTCAGTTCACAGGCCAGTGCTCAATCCACTGAGCTGCACTAACCAGGGCAAGATTTATTTATTTATTCTTTTTTAAAGACTTTATTTATTTATTTATTTTTAGAGAGAGGAGAAGGAAGGGAGAAAGAGGGGAGAAACATGAATGTGTGGTTGCCTCTCACACGCCCCCCACTGGATAACCGACCCACAACCCAGGCATGTTCCCAGACCAGGAATCGAACCAGCAACCCCTTGGTTCACAGGCTGATGGCACTCAATCCACTGAGCCACACCAGCCAGGGCAAGAATTATTTTTAATAGTTCTTGTAACCAGACTGAAGTTTTTTGATGCATATATGGAAAAACTCACATTTAACTTGCTTAGGAAAATCTGAACTTGTTACTTTTTTCTTTTCCATCCTACTCGCCTTCCTTGACTTACTCTTAAGCTGCACCCTTGTGCCATGGTAGTGATTTTCATATTTTTGTCCTTTTTTGATACTGACTTTTCTGAATAGGAAAGGGACAGTTTTGACCTTTGCTTTCCTCTTTCCGCAACTTCTGCCACCTTATCTCGTGGTCAGTGAGCAGGAGGGTCAGCAAGGAAACGGTGTCGTCTGAGACCGCGGGTGCGACCGAACCTGCCGACACGAGGGCTTCTCAGAGCTGAGAGTGTAAAGCCCATGCTTCAGACTGAGTCCTACCGGGTGTCGTCGTCGCACGTCCCACTAGACATCCGACATACTCCCACCAGCATGTAAACTCAGCCCGACTGTGCCCAGGAGAGGAGCTGCTTCAGAAACCTCTATCCTAGGACAAACGCAGTGCGGCACACGGGGGTCCCCACGCGAGATGCTCAGACACGCTCCCCTTTGTCCCCCAGGCTGAAGGAGGACGCCAAGAAGGCCATAGAAGAACTCGGAAGCAAAGAGATCAGGACCATGAAATTCAGGTCAAGCTGGGTGTTTCTCACAGCGAAAGGCTTTGAACTTCCTGCAGGAATTCAGAGAGAGAAGGTAAGTGGCGGTGATGGGTTTTTTTGGAGCACAGTCGGTATACGATATCATACGGGGTCTGGCAGAAGTAATGCCGTTGAGTGTGGCTGGCAGGGTATGTGAGTGTCTCCCACGAGATGGACAGCAATGTAAACATTTCACCTAAAATGTCACGTGGTGTGCTTGGGTGTGATAGTGTTATGCTATAGAATTACATGCTTATGATTTTGTAATAAAAGATTTTTTAAAAGATTTTGTTTATTTATTTTTAGAGAGAGGGGAAGGGGAGGAGAAAGAGAGGGAGAGAAACACCAATGTGTGGTTGCCTCTTACATGGTCCCCACTGGGGACCTGGTCCACAACCCAGGCACGTGCCCTGACTGGGAATCGAACCAGCGACCCTATGGTTCTCAGCCCGCACTCAACCCACTGAGCTACACCAGCTCGGGCAATAAAAGATTTTTATGTAATAAAAAGAGGGGTGTTATTTGTGCCGGACCCTGTATTAGTTCCAGGTGTACAATACAGGGATTCAACATTTACGTACCTTACGATGTCATCGCCACAGTAAGTCTGGTAACCACCTTCACCGTGCGAACTTAGCGCAAGGGGGATGGTCTTTAAACGTCCCTTCCCACAGATGGTTAGTGTAGTGCGGGCCGTGACAGGAGAGGCTGCCGGTCAGCTACAACCCTCTGTCTCAGACCACAGCCTTGTGCACAGAGCATGCCGCAGAGGGCGCCGCGGAGGTGGTCCTCTGGTCTGACCCCTTGGTTCTCCCCTGAGGGTTCCTCGTTCCTAGGTCTGGGAAACGCCCCACCATCCACCCAGTAGGTGCTTGACACATCATTCCAGGGAAGACCGTCCACACTAAGAAGTTTGGAAACCTTCCCCTTAGATCAGCATTAGAAAGGCACTTGGTTGAAATTTCAATTGTCAAATCTCTTTAAAGTAGAACATTCCGAGTGGGCTATTGGGATTGATTTCCCGTCAGGCTGCGGCCCCCACAGTCCTCTCTCTCCTTGGCCCCGAGTGGGGATCGCGGCGGCGGGACTCGGCGTTAAGGTGGTTCGGCGGCCACCTGCGCCGGTGCCCCTGAAGCTGGTCTGACGGGGTGGGCACCAGACGCTGGATGAGCACAGCTCTCGCTGCTGCTGCTGTTGTTGTCATAACCTGTTCGTGGTTGGTTTGAAGCCCTTTTATTTCTCAAAGTGAAGTGAACAGCAAGAGAATGAAGTCCTAATGCGTTAACTTAGTCGCCTGTGAAAATTCCAGCTGACGGGTGGGGGCTGGGCGTGGGATTTATAAGCTGACGCCGCCCGCCCCCTGGGGATGATGACACAGTCTCTTCCAGACAGTGCTGCCCTCGGAACAGAGGGGAGGGGGCTGGCAGCCTGCCAAGGAGCGAGACCTCTGACTCTTGCCCCAGAGAAGGGTCTTCTCTTCTTTCCACGAGCTGTACACTCAGAGGAGGCCGAGAGATGAATGTCTCCGGCAGGGCCCACCGGTGGCTTCTGACCGCAGGCGTGGACGTTTGGTCCCGGTCCTCTGCTTGTGCTGTCCGGCGTGGCGATGGGTCTGGGAGGGAAGACAGGCAGAAGCAGGTGGGCCCCCGGGGGTGGAGGAGAAGGGGGCCGGATGGGTGTGATCTCGGCGTGGCCACACAGCCAGGTAACGGGAAGCCTGACAGCTTCTCTGATGCCCCCTCTGTTGTGGCCGTCTGGATGCTCGGAATTCACGGACATTGCAGCATGCATCTCAAAGGGCCTGCTTTCCCTGTGCAACCCCCGTGTTCTCCCGCGGCCGGGAAGCCAGTCCTGTAGAACATGTCAGGGGTACTTACCCGGGGCCCCTGCCTCGACCTCTCATTACTGATGATCGGGTTTGGACACCCCATGTGCTTGAGATCTCACGGACCTGTCCTCATGAGTGAGGCATTCCCGGGACTCTGGGTGGTGGCTCTGCCTGGGCTACCACTGTGGGGACCTGCAGGGGGGTGAGGTGAGCTGGCACGGCAGGGAGAGGGGTCTTGGTGTCCAGGGTCAGGTTGGCCAGGGGTCACATGTGATCCTGAACAGCCACTTCGCCTCCCAGGGCGTGAGTTTCCTGATCTGTGTCAGGTACTGAAAGCTAGGTGGACTCTTTAGCAGCTGCAGTGTGGGCCTGAGCCCCACTGACCCTTGGCCTTCCTCGGGCTGGCTCTGCAACGTGAATCAGGACCACCTTCTCCTCCATCTGATGTACCAATCTGCCCTCTTACGGATCTCCAGACTTTACCTACCTAGCTGTGTGGCCGTAGGCAAGTTACTTAACCTCTCTGTGCCTGAGAATCATCCCCTGTGAGAAAGGGGTGAAGACAGCTCCCACATCATACAAGAGTGGATGAGGACCAGGGGAGCAACGCATGGGGCTCAGCAAGGAGCTGAGCATAGAGCCCTGTAATCCAGAGCTTCCCCTGCTCTTTCCAACCCGCCCGCCCCAAACTGCCCTTCCCAACCTGAGCCTCCCCGAAAAGCACGGGCGCCCAGGCCAACTGAACTAGAATCTCAGAGGGTAGGGCCTGCCCCAGGTGTTCTGATGTATGGGGAGGGCCCACCTGGGGGGGTTCTGATATCCGGAGAGGGGAGACCCGTTACATTGACTTTTTCTGAGAATGTGGAGGCCTTGTCCCGAGCACACACCCATATGCCCCTGTACACCCCAGCTGGTGTTTTTATAGACACAGACAAGCGCACCCTAAAATCCATACGGAAGTTCGGAGGACCAGACAGCCAAAACAGTCTCGAACAAGAAGAACACTTTCCGACTTCCAAACTCACTACAAAGCCATGGCAATCAGGACAGTGTGGTTCGGACGTCAGGCAGACTTATCGACCCACGGAAGAGAACTGAGAGTCCACAGATAAAACCCCACTTTGTTGGTCAGTCCACTTTGGACAGAAGTGCCAAAACCACTGCGTGGAGAACAGGTGGTCTGTCCACCTTGGGGCGCTGAGACAGCAGGTCGCCCACACGCAGAAGCATGAACGTGCAGCCCTACGCCACACCACGCCACTTGGGGACATTAAGTCAACATCAGTCAGGTGACCACATTTAGGAGCTGGAAACCTTCAACTCTCAGAAGAGAAAATGTAGCCATAAACCTCTGTGACCTCGGATCAGGCAGTGATTTCTTAGATACAACACCACAAGCACGAACAATGAACAACGAAACAAAAAAGTAGATCCTTGCATTCGATCAAAATGTAAAACTTTTGTGCACCAAAGAACACCACCAAGAACATGAAAAGATAACCTACAAAATGGGAGAAAAACATTGCCAATAAGGGACTTACACCCAAAATGTATATAGAACTTGTACGGCTCACTAATACAAAGACAAATAACCCAATTTTCAAGCAGGCAGAGGATCTGAACACACACGTCTTCAGAGAAGACACACAGACGGCCCACAAGCACATGAGATGCTCACGACTGGCCACCGGGAACCACAAACAGAAGCTCGAGGAGACAGACACTGCCTTGCCCTCCCTGCATTGGCTGCATTAAAAACAATATCCTTCTGGCTGGCGTAGCTAGGTGGATTGAGCGCGGGCTGCGAACCAAAGCATCGCAGGTTCGAATCCCAGTCAGGGCACATGCCTGGGTTGCAGGCCATGACCCCCAGCAACCACACATTGATGTTTCTCCCTCCCTCTCTCTCTCTCTCTCTCTCTCTCTCTCTCTCTCCCCCCCTCCCTTCCCTCTCTAAAAATAAATAAATAAAATCTTAAACAACAAAAAAAATGACATCCTAAGCAGAGTTCTCAAGGGTGTGGGGAATTTCGACCTTTCAGGCCCTGCTGCAAGAAATGTAATAACAGAGCTGCTTTGGGAAACATTCTGTCCCTTTCTCAAGAAAAATTAGGCATGTCGTTACCCAGCGACCTAATAATTCCGCTCCTAGATATATACCCAAGGGGATGAAAACATTATGTGCAAAAAAACGTGTACATTAAACAAGTGTACATGACATGCATAGAAGCCTTATTCATAATAGCCAAAATGTAGAAACAACTCAAATGACTTATTCATGTATAAAAATATGTAAATAAAATACGGTATAGCCGTACCCTGGGACATTGCCCAGCCGTGAAGAGGAGTGAAGCACTGATGCCCGCCGCAGGGTGGAGGGGCCTGGAACACACGCTGGGGGCAGGAACCAGACCCAGGAGACCACATACCGTCCGTTTCACTTACCGTATTTTGCCGTGTGTAATGCGCACTTTTGTGCCCACATTTTTTGAGGGGAAAATGAGGAGGCGCATTATACGTGGGTCGTGCCTGAAATGCCTTGTATCTTTTCTTGTGTTGTCTAATTATTTGTTACATAAAATTTCTTGTACCATCACATGTTCAAAAATAAATGCTCAAATTCCTTGGTAATACAAAAAAGACACAAGTATCTAAATAAAAATACACTAAAACTCAAATTAAATTAAAACAAAAGATCTTTTTCCTGAAAGTCTGGGCCAAAAATGTGAGTGCGCATTGTACACGGGGCAAAATATGGCATTCGAGATTTCCAGAATAGAGAAAACTCAGTGAGAGAGGAAACAGACTAGCGAGTCCCTGGGGCTGTGAGGGGTGTGGGTGTGTGGCTTCTTGCACAGGTGAGGAAAACAGTCTAAAATCTATTGTGACGGTCGCCTATCTCTGTGAGTATACTAAAAGCCATTGAGTTCACTTTGGGTGAATTTTGTAGGATGCACGTTATATCTCAAAGCTATTATAGAAAAAGGATGTGTAACTAGAATTCCAAAGATCAGAATGCATATTAATCTTTCCAAGCATTAAGTTGAGGCTCCCCATTATCTGCAAAAGAACTGAAGACAGGAAGGACTAGGCCTGCATCATCATGAACATGTGTCTGCTGAGCCGGGAGTTCTGCAGTGACCTGAAAAAATGCATAGCCCCCCTCCCAAAGAACTGGAAACTCAACAGTACAGCTGTGCTGTTCAGGACAGCAGCTATGGGCCAAACTTGATTTACATTTATTAAGTTGTAATCACATTTATTACAATTAGATAGATCTTAAAATTCAGTTCATCACTCACGCTAGGCACATTTCAAGTACTCGAGAGCAGAACGTGGCTAGTGGCTATTCTATTGGGTAGGGTCGATCACAGAATATTCACATCATTGCAGAAAGTTCTAGAGCTGTACGAATGCCTGGTTCCCATAGTTTTTTGGGAGCACGTGGAGAGAAAATCAAGCACCCAGACTGGGCTGGAGCAAATTCCATTCTAGGAAGCAATCCAAAGAATCACCTCCTAGCTGTAGGATTTGCTCATGGCTGACACGCTAAATATTTGTTGAGTAGCAAATAAAATTCTTTTCTTTCTTTTACACAGATCAACCACTCTGATCGTGCAAATAACAGATACTCGGGCTGGCCCGCAGAAATACAGATAGAAGGCTGTATACCGAAAGAACCAAGCTAACACTGTGCAGACAATAAAAGTTTTTTTATAGACAAATGAGTCATGGAGTGGCCTGTGAATCTTACCCAGCAGTCAATATTTGATGTTTTAGGTTTTGTCACCAACCAACCAATATTTGCTGGCGGCCGTGAAATCTTGGCACACAGTATTTTTATGCCAATCCGTGTGTGGTGAAGATATGCGTGAGCAGCAAGACTGACGACACGGATGGGAGTTGTTAAATGAAGGGGTTTCACCTGGAAAGGAGAGGGTGGGGGGAGGTAGCCACCGCTTGCCCACGTGCGCAGTTGCCTTGTGATCGTGTCTGGACCCCGCAGCCCAGGCAGCTCTGCAGAGAGAAAACCTTGACTCCGTCATCGCTGAGCAGCCCCTCAGCTCGGCAGTCATCTCCGGGGGAGAACGGGCAACGGTCAGAGCAAAGCCGCCTCTGCCAACTCCGTCTGAGCCTTTGCTCCCTTCCTGTGGGTCCATGAAGTTACTCTTCGCGGCACGAATCTGGGCGCCTCCCGCCTTCTGCCACCCGGGGTGCAGTGGTGAAGGGACATAGTCTCTGCTTCCCTCCCTGCGGGGTGTCACGCCAGTGGCCAGCCCCTGTTTAGTGGGGTGGGGAGGGAAGAGCTGCAACAGGACAAGGGGGGTCTGGCCTCAGGGGGACAACTGCACAGTATAGGTGTGACTTTCTAGAAGACACGTCATGAGAGCCAGGCACCCAAGGCGGGCATGCTCTGGGAAGCGTGTCCGGCGATGCATCTGATGTGGGGCTGAGACGCTCAGGTCCTCGCCAAGCGCTCCTCCTAACTGTCTCTCCAAGCCTGGCCAGTGGAAAAGCTAGGGGGCTTTGATGCCAGATGCGTAACCCTTCTCTGAGCCTCTAGTTCCTCGTCTGTAAGGTGGAGGAATTGGAATAGAGGAGGAATTCAAACACTTTTATCAGCAGGAATCCTTTTAAGAACATGGTCCCACACAGCATGCTCAGCATCTCAAACCACCCAAGGCGCAGTGGCCCACACCTGCACTGGCTTCTCCCTCGAGCTTCTCGGGGGCCACAGGTCGCCCAAGGGTGGGCCCTGAGCACTGGGAGCCGGGCCGCAGCAGGGTCCCTGTCAGGCACCGAAGCCAGAGGGGGCAGAAATCCACATGCCCCCGAGCGCCTGCCTGGCCCCGGGCTGAGCCCCACCCCCTCCCTCTGTGACCCAGACGCAGCTGGGGCACGTCAACAGGGTGGCCCTGGGCGGGGTGGATGCCTGTAAGCCGGGAATACAATGACTGGCGGTTTGGATTTGGTTTCGTTTTACTTTTATGAGTATTTACTTTATGCTGAGCTTACTCCTGGGCCGGTCAGTTTCTGTTTCTCCCGCGTCTCCTGGGATCTCTTTCTCTTCCGCGCAGCCTGCTCTTCTGGGTGGAGACCAAGCTGCCGTTTTCGCCAGGATCCTCCGAGCGTGGCGGGGAGAGCCCGTGTGTGGGTCAATCCACCCGAGAGCTCCGTGCGCTCTGAGCTGAGTCTGGGGAGCTTCATTCGCCTGGACGGGCTCCCCGACCAGCGGGCCTACCACCAAGCCCCCAGCCTCAGCCCCACCGTTTGGCCTGGGCACACCTACCCGCCCCGCTGTCGTGCCGACAGAATGGCACCCACTGCTTCCGTAAAGGGACTTCCTTAGATTCTCGGTGGCTCTTCAGACAGGCACCCTGCATGGCCTGGGCAGTTTCCTTAGTGTTCTTAAAGTGAACCTGAAGATTTGAACCTCTGCAGGATTTTGGGGGGTTTTCTGGGTCAAAGTGAATAGCGAAGCATTTTTAGAGGTCACCTCCGGTGGCTTTGGGGAAGAGCAGGGACACATGACTGTGAGCGGCCAAGCGCGGTGCTCAGGGCCACAGAGGAACTGGGGGCCTGCTGGCCTCCTGCCCTGGGCGCCCGCCCCTCGCGGAGCTGGGGCCCCGCCCAGCAGAGCAGTCTGCAGGCCTCTGCCCGCAGCAGGAGAGCCTCGCTCAGGCTCCAGGTGCGCCAATAAGGTCATTGCAGCTATAATAAGAGTAGGGTGGCCTCTAAGCCAGTACAGCCAGTGTCCTGATTAAAAGTTACAGACATTAGCCCTGGCAGGTGTGGCTCAGCGGATTGAAGGCAGGCCTGGGAACCTTCAATTCCCAGCCAGGGCACACGCCTGGGTTGCCGGCCGGGTCCCCAGTAGGGGGCGCATGAGAGGCAACCACACATTGATGTTTCTCTCTCTCCCTCCCTTCCCATGTGTCTAAAACATAAATAAATAAAATCTTTAAGACAACGTTAGGGATATGAGGACACAGACACACGTGCAGGGAGACAGCCACGCGAGGAGGAAGGCGGAGCTCAGGGCGATGCCTCTACAAGCCAGGCCGGGGAGCCCGGAAGAGGGCGGGCAGACCAGCAGGACCTGCAGGAGAGGACTGAGCGCGTTCTCCCCCACGGCCTTCAGAGCGAGCGCAGCCCTGCCCACACCTCGGCCTTAGACTTCTGACCTTAAAATCCGGGAGAATAAATCTCTGTTGTCTCAGCCACTCCGATTCCGGCGCCTTGTATGGCAGCCCAGGACACCCATAATGCTCTCTTTAGGTTATGAACTCTTTGGTACCCATGGCATTCCTGCATTCTCTAAAAAGGAGGGAGGGGCCGAACCTTTATTCCTTTTTCTTTTCCCTTTTTTTATTTTTTTGCTCTGGCTGAAATGACTACACCTTCACAGCAGTGCTGATTGTAATGCACTGTATCGGGTCAAACCCCAGGGGCACTGCTGGGCAGTCGCGTCCAGAAACCCCACCTGGGGGCTGGCAAGGTCCGGGGGCACCCCCATCCCCCACCCTGTGACAGCCCCGGGCACCTTCCTCTCGGCTGCCTCTGCCCCTCTCGCTGGTGCGTCCCCAGCGTGGGGCCCAGGACTCTGCACCATCATGTCCTGTTTCCCACCTACCTGGGCACTGAGTGCTGAGACTGTCGGCCCTGGGCCCCAGCCCTGGGGGCGGGGAGGGGCTCGAATATCTTGTCGTGATGCCACCTGCTGCTCGCCTGAAAAGCTTGGAACGAGTGTCAGAAACTAGAGACCCTTACTAAACCATCTCCCTTGGCTGTGCCCTTGGCAATACTTCTTTTCCAGAGCTGTGTCTTCCACCTAAAATTTCATTTAATCCCATTAAATAACCGTGGTCAGGAGAGCGGCTTCCACATTACAACCCGTTTGGAGATTGCCTGGCCGAGTTGCAGGTATGTGGTTCAGGCTGCTGCGCTGCTGCAAGGATTTCGCTTAGCAGGTCGCGTCCGAAATGCCTGAATGCAGCAGTGGGACACCATCTGGACCCATCATCTCCCCAGGGCCCCCTCCTCCATGCTCCCTGGTCGGATCTTCCGCCTTCAGAGCCTGGAGGCCACTAAGCAGGGTGAGGGTGACCCCCAGCTCTGCTCTGTGCACCCCCTTCCTGAGAAGCCCCTTGGCCCTCACTGCAGGGGCAGGGGTCAGAGGTGGTAGCCATTCCCCTTTCTGGGTTCCAGACCCCCCGAGGGGCCAGCTGGGGAGCAGGAGTGCCACCACTGCCCAGGCAGCAGGCTGGGGTGTACCCAGGGCACGGGTGCTGGGAGCTGGGGGATGGAGGGGGACAGGCAGAGCGCAGAGGACTTCAGGGCCGTGGAGACCCTACCCCCTGTGACACTGTAACAGTGGTCACGTGTTCTGATACATTTCTCCAAACCCACAGAATGCCCGACACCGAGAGTGCACCCTGCAGGGGTGTCCGACATTTTGGCATCTCCGGGCCACACTGGAAGAAGAAGAGTTGTCTTGGGCCACACATTAAATACATTGTGATGCGTAATCACACAAAAAATCTCATCATGTTTTAAGTACATTTACGAGTTTGTGTTGGGCCGCACTCACAGCCATCCTGGGCTGCATGTGGCCCACGGGCCGCAGGTCGGACCCCTCTGCAAGGCCAACTGGGGACTCTAGGCAAACTAGGATTTACACAGTCCTAAAATTGCACGGGGTCCCTTAGAGTTTAGGAGACGCGGGCCTGAGAGTGAGGAAAGACGCCGCTGCGCTCCGGAGAGAGCCCGCGCTGGGTCTTGGGCTAAGGCCCTCGTCTAAGTGCGGGAAGTTTGGGGCAGGTCTTCAGGGAGGGTCTCCACAGAATGTCCGTCAGCTTTACGCCGGTGCAGCACAAGGAGACGTATTCCCCCGACTTCATCCGTCCTCGGGTGTGGTCGGCGCAAAAGACACGAATTGGGTCGCTGCTGTCCGTCTCCCTGAGTGGGGCGATTCAGGCTCTTTCCCCTCTGGGTGCAGGGGACAGTGTAGCCCATTCACTCCTTGCTCAGGGAAGATGAGATTTTGCGATTTACGAGGTGGCTGTAAACTGCTTGGTCTTTAACCAGCTGCCTCAGTTTCCCTAGTCCACTCGTCCTGGCTTGCTCGCCTTGTCTCGTTCTGACACCATGACATCTGGAACAGAGCTTGTCCTTGACTGAGGAGAGGGTGTCACCAGCCGAGACACTCCCACCCGAGTGGGCCTCTGTGTCGCTCTAGCTGGACGGCATGGGCACCGCCAGCCCCAGGCTGGCCCCCATGGGCACCATGCAGGACGGCAGACAAGACATTCCGATGCCCAGCGGGCTTGAAGTGGACCCTCTGAGAGTGAGGGGTCAGTGGGCGCGGACCCCAAAGCGCCCGCGCTGCTGCTGTGCCCAGCGGGAGCACACCCCCACGGGGAACATCTCCTTTCTGTCCGCAGGAGACACCCACACCTGTAAACAGGTGTATGAGTTTATGTGAACCAAACTGACCACAGTGGCCAGGAGGCAAAATCTCAGTAGACTGAGCAATGCGGCGGAGAAGGGCGGTTTCGCCCTCCATGTCACACTTGGCAACCAAAGCGGGGTGGGGCGAGAGGGAGCGACAGGAAATCCACTCGCAGAGATTAGGGAGTTGGGAGAAAGCAAAGCGGGGGAGGGCTCTCTGGGACTGGATAAAAGGTAAAACCAACAGCTCCTACTTCTTCTTTGTTTGTGGGTGAGG